TAAATTCATTTATTTTATTTTTTTATATTTACTAATTTAATATTTTAAAACATTAAAAAATTTCAATAATATTTGGGGTAATTATAGGAGGAAGTTGTAAAAGGACTTATAACTAAGTAAATGTTAACTAGAGTCCTTAATTAAGAAATTAAAAAAATATTTTTATTAAAAAATACAGTATTAATTGCATAAAAATGTAAAAATTGTTTAATAAATCTTTTAACTTAAAATATTTATTGAATTAATAAGGTAAAATGTTTAAAATTTAATTTTATAATCATTTAAATGGTGTATTAGTAACATTATATCACTCATTAACAAGATAATTGTAACTATTTTTATGGAATTATTTATTGAATGGTTTTACTAAATATTATAAAAAAATACTAGTTGAAAACATTTAATACATTTTATTTTATCAAAAGCGACATCATATATTTTTATTATTGACTCTTGATCTGATGCATCATCCGTATCACTTGTCCAAGGAGCAACTTATAATTCAGAAAATTCTAGCTGAAATTTGCTACTGTATATAAAGTGCATAACGAATCTTAAAACCATTTAAATTAATTTAATGATAAATAATTTCATAATTTATGAAAGATGGTGGTTTAAATCTGCATGCTCGCATTTTACTAACTAATGTTATGTTTGAGTGGGCATTAATTTGGGGAGCATCTAACTCGTATTTGGGGCACCTAAACGCAATTTTTTTTAAAAAAAATATTTAATTTTAATCAAACATTTTACTTATTTATTCTGCTATACACACACATATATATATAATAAATTTAATTTCAGGATAAAAGGTTTTAACTATAAAGTATACTTTATTTTTTAAGGTTTCAATGAAAATTTTCATATATTTATTCTTCTTTTGTCCCCATACCGTCCTCAATTTATTCAACAGTATAATATATAATGTTAGCTAGAGAAAAAAATTGTGTATAACTTTGTTAAATCATACGGGTGCAAATATATATAATTTGTCCTATGATTTTTTTTATTTAAACTCACTGTTAACTAAAAATTATATATGAAAAGTAGATTAAGTTTAGAAAACGTTCACCCAATCACATACTAAAAAAATTCTATATGTGTTACATGAAGATGAATTAATATATTTGAGAAAATATTAAGTTTGAAAATGAAAAACAAAATGATGAACGTTGATGAGTTACATTGTTATTCTACTGAAGGAACATACTGCAATAATGCATTATAAAGAAACCGAGCATATCTCTCGAAAAGTGAAGTACAAATTTGCAAATCCAAAAGAATATTCATGTGCTGCCTTTTTTTCCCCTGTAAAGTTGGTTGGCTAAAATGCAATTCGATCTACCATCTTGCCATGTGTATAGAAAATGACCTAATATTAAAACAAAAATAAAGGAAAGGGAAAAATATTAAAGAACTGAATTATTAATTATGTAATATAAAAAAAGGCAAATATTCCCCAGCTTTTGTTAAGCAGAAGCATGTGAGTTCCTGTACTGGAATCCTAGATCTAATACTGGACAATAATTCCAACTTAACTAAGCAAAGTCTAACTCGTTGAATTTTTGCACTTTACAAGACTACCCTTTAGTAATTGCATAACCTCGTTTTCAATATGTTTTAGTTGAGTGTGTGTGTCACATTCATTAAGCATTGGATCAATGTTATAGCTTGATTTAATATTGGAGCAACCTACAAATCAAATTGCATTATCAAAGTAAAGTGAATCTCATATAAACTATCGTTTTGTTGATGAAAAATTGACAAAATATCAGTTGTAATTAAAATTATGCGTGCCTACAAATTAGCAGGGAATGATATTTTCTTGCTTTACTAAGATTTCACGGACAATTAATTATAAAACAATTCCATTCAGTTTATTACAAAAGGACAAAGGAAGAAACTTAACATACCCTTGGTGACAACAATTTGCTTTTCCCTAAACCCTTTTTTTTTTCAAATGGCTACTGTTTCTAACTATGTGAAGCTAGAGAGAGAAATAGAGAATGGAGACTATTTGGAGGGGGGACCCTTTGGGGTTTGAATAGGAATCTCACAAGGCCTTGAAAGTTGAAGCCTTTGGGGGGAGTGTTGGAGGGGGAGAGAATATTCTAGGGCCACCACCGTTCAACAACTAAACTCCAAAGATTTATATTAAACAATGTTAGAAAGGAAAAAATCATTAGATTATGATTAAGGATTTGGGAAATTAACAGGAAAAGTCAGCCCACAAGGAGACGACTGCTCAAACTTCCAAAAATTCACTGCCTTTGTCAGCTGCCTGTCTCCTAATGTTCTATTTTTATAGTAATTTTCGTGTTAATTTAGAGAACTCTATTTTTATATGTCTATCATTATTTATATTTAAGAATTTTTTATATAATATAAAATAATATTATCATTAATATAGTTATAACAACTATTTTAAATAAAAAATACTTTTAAATAAAAACGAAAATAAATATTTAAAAGTAACACGTACACACTTGTTACAAACATTATCAAGTTCAGACTCTAACATCAACAGGTAGCTAAATTTAAAGATATTTATATATAAAGCTATGGTCCTTTAACTAGAAGTCATTATATATTATTTAATGCGTTAAATAATAGAAACTATTAAAGTGTTATAAAAAGACGGTATAATTTTGTTATTCTGAAAATGCATTTAAATGAAATTCAAATAATTAGCATTTATAGTATTAAAAATAAAAACTTAGCGTTGAGGGTAAGCAAACTTCTCTCTTTTCTTTCTATCGTGGTGGTGTGGTTGAAGATAGTGGGGAGGACTTTTGTTCCTCCTCCGATATAATCTTTTAGCAGTATATTTATTAATAAATGAATTAAAAAAGTGGATACAACTTTATTTAACAACCAAATTGTTCAATATATAAGTATTAATACTAGAAAATATAACCGTTGATTTTGTGGTTATATTGATGGCCCATTTCCATATAGGCAGTCCACCAATTAAACATTTCCAACTAATAAAAGTTTAATCTCTATTTAAAACAAAAAGAATCTGTACGTTAAGGATGCTGAGAAAAAGCTATGTAAAGTAAATTAAATATCTAAATATTTTTTTAAGGGAATATGGTTGGCAATATATATCTATCTACACTAAAAAAATAATTACCAAATGAAGGTCTTCGTGGACTTTGAATTAATGTTAAGAAATTAATTAAAGGTATACAAGCCTCACTGCTTGGTTACATCACCCCATAATTATGTAACGACAGTAATAGTTAATGATAAACTAAATATAATCGACAATAACAATAAAGATTAAGAACAAGAAACATACAAATGTTAGTTTGAAGTATATTAAAAGCCAAGAACGCTAGAAATGCAGTCAATGAGACATACTCATGTTGTCATATAGACGATTATTCCCTTTTCTTCTGTGTTTCTTTGGTCGTTTCCTTTGGATTTATCCTTCCCTTGACAGTTTGGTGAGTGCATGGACACACGTGCATGGCTGTTTTCTAAGAAGAGTTCAAAACAAATTAATGAACAGGTAGCTAGCCGTTCGATGTTTATAATGGCAAATTTGCACTCTCTCTTTCCTTTCAACCCGGTGCCAAGCAATGGAAATTTACAATATTTTGGTATGTATCAATCTTCTTTGAAAAATGACCAGCATTTTCACTTTGACCAAGTTCAATAGACTCAATATTTTGCCTTTTGTGGAACATCAACATTAAAGAAAGGTGTTTGTGATTGGGTAGGTTCCTCTTTCCAAGTCACACTCACCACACGAGACACAATGATTTTCTCTTTAGGACAGAAACACAGTACTCGCTTTGATTTAAATGGGTGTGGCTGTGAGGATAATTCAAGCTGTCATATTAATCTAAGTACATGACCAGTTCTGCAGAAATAGTGTTTTTTGAGCAACCTGTTTTATAGAGGCATGATTATGTAACCCTATATATAGCATCAGTACATAGTGATCATATGAGTCTGAGGGCAGTGCTTAATTACACCAAGTTTTTTTTTTTTATTAATATTTAAATTAGAATTGAGAGCTGAATCATAACACAAAGGTAAGGTTGTTATCTTAAAATTTAGAGGTTATCTTGAGACACCATAAAACATTATGCATCAAAGAATGGACATTGAGACATCAAACAATGAAAATTGTACTATAAAACAAAAATTTGTGAAGGCGAGCACGAAAGAAAAAAGGATAGAAGATAGATAGTTATACCAAAAATAAAAGAAACTTGAAGACATGTAAAACATATATATATATATATATATATATATATATATATATATAATCTAAAATGATTGGATGGGACTGCTCCGATGGCTACGTACAACTGAGCCAATTGAAATAAAATATACATTGAATCAATTTTTTCTTTTCTACTTTCAAGCTAATTGAGCATTACTATTCTGAGGTAAATAGATGTCTTCGTGTGCCTACTAGAAAGGCACATTGGAGTTCCTTACTATATAATAAACAAACTATAAATAAAAACTTAGAAAAGGTTATTGTATGATAAATAATGATTAAAAATAAGAAAACAAAAAGCAACAACAAATTATGGGATAATCATTCCAAATGGGGATTAACTTTCTTCCGACCTCATCATATGTGTCATCATACACCTTTGCTTCACCTCCTCTCCCTTTTTTGCCCCCTCCTTTATCTCTCTCACTCAGTCTCTCTTTCCTCTTCAACTTTTCACCGCCTCCCACAGCATCTTTATTTTTTTTATTCCACCTAAAAAGTAGATAATTAAATCAACTCAAACACTCGAGAGGGGAGAGAGAGAGAGAGATCCCATCTTGCATATATCAGTTTGTGTTGTTTAGGGTTGAAGGCACACATAACTAACAAAGCTAGTTGCCCATTCTCTTGCGTTTTCCCATAATCCAATTTCAAACATATAATACTTCTTCTCACTACTGAAACTGTTCGTGTGAGTTCTTATTCTGTAAATTGAGTCAAACTGAGAATCCAAGAAAACAGTTTGAAGATGCTAAAAAAGATGGATGAAGGAGAAATCACCAATGGTTTCCCTCCAAACCCAACTGGTGCTGCATCCAACAAGAATCCTCCAGTTTTGAAGAGGAAGAGAAACCTCCCAGGAAATCCAGGCATGTTTAATCTTTCATCTCAGCATTTCTCTTTATCAATCTCTCTTTAGCTTTATCATGATAGGTATATTCAAAGCTAATTTGCTTTTTTTATCAAAAGAAAAAAAATGTTATGGGAATCTTTTTATTTGCACAGATCCTGAAGCTGAGGTCATAGCCTTATCACCAAAGACTCTTATGGCTACCAACAGATTCTTGTGTGAAACATGTGGGAAGGGTTTTCAAAGGGATCAAAATCTTCAACTCCATCGACGTGGACACAACCTTCCTTGGAAGCTTAAGCAAAGGACGAGCAAGGAAGCAAGGAAAAGGGTTTATGTGTGCCCGGAGAAGACTTGTGTACACCACGATCCTTCAAGGGCTCTTGGAGACTTAACTGGGATAAAGAAGCACTTTTGCAGAAAGCATGGAGAAAAGAAGTGGAAGTGTGAGAAGTGCTCAAAGCGTTATGCTGTGCAATCAGATTGGAAAGCTCATTCAAAGACCTGTGGCACCAGAGAATATAAATGTGACTGTGGAACCATCTTTTCAAGGTAACTAACACATCCATCTTGAGTTTGCTGATCCCAACTCTGTTATCAATCAGATAGGATCAAGTTTTTTGTTTTGAAGAAGTAGTAACTGTGGAACCATCTGAAATACTCTCTCTCTCTCTCTCTCTCCTTGTGGTCTCTGGGTTTATGCTGTATATTTGGCTTTTAGGAGAATAAGGCTTAGTTCAAATAAAGGACAAAGAAAGAAGCCACACAAGTTAATTCGATAAGCCTTTTTGCAAACTTAGCCCTAAACGACAAAAGTTCGTGGTTTGGAATTGTCATAGTTAAACTCATATTTTGTGATTATCAATTCAGTTTTCTCCGTGACAATATTTTGGGGTTATAACCTCTATAGGCTAGTCAGTAAAAGACACAATGCCGTAATATTGTTGTCATGTTACTCCCATTTGGACTTTTGTTGAGCTGATATCATACGTTTGTCTACATACTTACACAAATACAAAGTACTGAAATGTAAAAATGACCATTTGTTGCTATGAAGCAAATGGTGGCAGAAACAAACACACTCTTTGAGCATGCTTTTATGTTATCTTGAATTCCAATACAATAAAATGGAGTAGTTGTAAAAAAAAAAAAACAGAAGTTCAAACTTCTTACGTATGTCTCTTTAGAAGATTATTACTATTATTTTGCTTATGGTTTGATATACTTTTGGTTGAGCAGGAGGGATAGCTTCATCACTCACAGGGCCTTCTGTGATGCCTTGGCCGAAGAAACAGCTAGGGTAAATGCAGCATCAGACATGAACACCTCTTTAGGGGGTAACATTGGTTACAACATAATGGGAACACCATCCCTAGGCCCTAATATGGCAACCCATTTTTCATCAATTTTCAAGCCAGTTTCAAGCATTGACGAAACAACTAATCCAACATCTAAAGGACTTTCCCTTTGGATGGGTCAAACATCTTCTCAGGCTCAAGAAACAATGGCTAATGGCAATTTGCGTGAGATTCATCAACTTGAAATATCAACGACAAACTCAGAAACAATATATTGTGGAACCCCACTTGTCCAAAGCTCAAATCTCCCACCCTCTAATTATCACCTAAATTGGGTGTTTGGAACAAAGCTTTCCTCCAATAACAGCCAAGAGCTAACCAGTAATACTACCTCACTTCCACTAGGCAATAATACAAGTGTTCCTTCCTTGTATAGCTCCCAACACCAACCTCATCAAACATCTTCATTGGCAAACATGTCAGCCACAGCTTTGCTGCAAAAAGCTGCTCAAATTGGAGCAACCTCAAGTGACCCATTATGGCTTGGAAGCCTAGGTTTGAAATGCAGTTACAATCAAGGACAAGATGGGGATAACAAGTTCAGTATGTACGGTTCAAGTTTAGTGCTCACAAGTGTTGGGAACAAGGCAGAGAACTCTGCATGTGACTTGTCACAAATGCTCCATGCCAAACGCAGACACGTGCAGAATGAGGAAAATGGAGGAGGGCAAACTAGGGATTTTCTTGGTGTTGGTGTGCAAAACCATTTGCCACCCTTTATCAATCAAGGGTTGGACTCGATATGATCATACATATTTAATAAAAAAAAAATGTTTTTTTTTTCACATCGTATACACTCTTGGAGTTGGAGGGAGGAAAACAAATCTTACACCACAATGAATATGTGATAAAGAAAGAAAAAATGAAATAGAATGAGGTGTAATTAAGTTGAATGTAAGAGTTAAGAGTGTGGAAAATTAGAGTTAATATATTTAATTGCGAAGTTTAATTTTCTTTAATTATTTTTCTATGGTAGGGGAAAATAACAATAAAAGCAAAATGCCGATGAACTATATATGGAGCTGAAGTTGGAATTGAAGGAACATAATTAAGTATCTGGAAACTTTGCAGGGAGGAAAAGGTGGGAATTGAGTGCTTGATGGAGGCCTAGGCTAAAAAGTTTGTTGTTAGAAAAATATTGACGGGTTGAAAGGAGAGAGATCTATGCATATTCTTTTGAATGCTGAAAGCTAACCCTTTATTAAAAATGGTGGCTTTAATTTTTGATAAAAGAAAGGGGCGATTGTGGAGTAGTGGGGGCAAAGCAAAGGACAAGCTTTGGAGCTCCATTATTGCACAGTTTCATCGCTGTTGTGGTTGTTGTTGTCTTTGTCAAACTGAGCTTAAAAGAGAATTTCCAGTGACAAAAAAGCATCATTCTATTACAAATAGGCTTTTAGCCTATAGATTAAAATAAACTAATGTACCCTTTTCATTCACCCTGCAATGCATGCTTGTATAGTATAAAGAGATTGGCTAAATTTTCTTTACATGCAGAAAAAATGAACCTAGGAAGATCGAGGCACATCAATTGATTATTAATTGTAAGTTTTTTTTTTTCTATCTCGTTTTTTTTCTATCTTCCCAACCCCTTCTCCTCTTCTTTTCATGCACTCAGCGGAAAGTGCGGTAATATATTGCCTTGCCTTTTTCATTTGTCCATCCTTGTCGTTGTTGTAGTACGTGGTGAAAATAAAGGAATGAATCCAGAAAAGATGTCCAAATTAATAAGTGAGAATAACCAGAGTCAGCTACTTTTGACTGTGCAGTGATATAATAATTCTCAATTTAGTTTTAGTAATAAAATTCATGTTTATATTTAACTTCGTATTAGTTTTATTTTTCCATAAAAAAGTTTGCGTTTTAATTCTCATAGAGAATTAAAATATTGAATACATTTATTTTTTATTTAAATTATATTTAAAATATTGTATGATTTTGTTTTTAGAAAAGTATAACACCACACAAAATGATATTGCTGTGTGATGCGATTATTCAATTATTCAATATCTTTATAAGATACATGTTGATTTAACATACCGTGAATAAGTAACACATTTATATCATGGAACCCCTCACTAAGTAAAAAACAAATTAACAGTAGTTAAAAATAATATTTAATATTAGTTAAAGTAAAAACAACCCATGTAGATAGTTAGAATTTTTTATATCAGTTGTACTAACTTTTTATATTAATTATAAATAATCAATCTTTAATAGCATCAATATGAAAACTGTTTTTGTTTATCAATAGCAAACATGATAAACAATCATCAATACTGTTCATCAATATATTGTATTTGTTGTCAATTTTTATTAAGTCTTTAAATAAAAATATGTAATATTTGTTAATATTTAGTAAGACAAAATTATTGATGCATTTTATAAAAGTTTATGCTTGTTAATGACATAGCTAAAAATTATAGCAAAAGCTTGAAAATATAAATAAAAATTGGTGTTTATCATCTTCAATTTATTCTACTTTATTGATACACATGTCTAAATAATTTTATTTTGAAATGATTATACATTAATTTCAAAAATAAATAATGTAAAAAGTATGTTTTACATCAATTGTTATTAGAAATGACATAAAAAATATTTTTTATATCAGTTTAAAAAATATAAAAGATATTATTTTTTACATTATTTTTAAAAAATAACTAATGTATAAAGTATTTTTACATTAATTTTTAAAATAACTTATTTAAAAAGTATTTTTTTTTACAATAGTTATTTAACAATTGATATAAAAGATTTTACAAATTTTTATCATTATTATTATAAATCTTTGAAGGGACATAACTTTTAATACTTAACTCTAATTTATGCAAGTTATATATCAATTTCATATAACTTTTTAAAATTTATCCAATCCAAACACCCAAAAAAGAGTTTGGATAAACTTCTTTTTCAAAATTCTAAATTTTTTTATATTTTTTATTTTTTATTTTTGTACATCAATTTCAAAATTAACCAATATAAAAAGTCTTTTCTACTTTAATTATTTTAACAACTAATATTTAAAAAATTTGTTATTTTTAAAATAGTACCACACTTTTTACTAAATAAGTTAATTAATAACCGATATAAAAAATTGAAGTAAATTTTTTTTACTAATGCTTAGATACATTTATTTTTTATTTTATATTATATTATAAAATAATAGACGAATTGTTTATTGTATAAAAATGTAACACTACTCAATTTTACAGTTTGCAAGCCTTAATAATAACTTATCGTATATATTTTACGTATTAGAAAGTCTACCTTTTTATAATGTTGTATTGTTTTTAAATCAAATTTTTTTTTATCAAAAAAAATTCTCTTCGAATTAAGCAAGACAATTGTGTTGTATTGTAAGATTTTATATAATTTGATTAGAAACTCTAATTGCATCCTGATTTTATTTCTATTTTTTAGATTTTTTTTTTTTTTTTTTTTTACATCTACACCGTAGTATTCAATACATCAGTGCACCCTTTAGCCTCCCATGTCACCGGTGTTTCTAAAATTAAGGTAACATAATAAAACAAAAAATTACAAATTAATTAGCATTTTGAGATTTAGGTTGAGTAAATATATTAATTAGAATTTTAAAGTTGAAAAGGATGTATTTTGTCCTTAAAATTTTTTATGTGTAGAATATAATTTTTGTTGATTTATTTTCAAATTCACTCTTAGAAATAAAAAAAAATCGGGCACGAATAAAAACTAAATCCTATATGATTCAAACTTCAGGGTTTTGATAAATGATTTTTCTAAAAATAAATTAATAGAGAAATGAATTTATATATGCTTATTAAAAGTTTCAAAAATTAAAATATTTTAAAAAAATAAAAATTGTTGGCTAAGATTTTTTTTAATAAAATAATAAATTATAAATCATTAAATATAAATTAAATAAAAAATTTAAATTAAATGTAAGTGCGGTGATTCGTTAAAGAAAAAACCTTTCGGCAATGGATTATGGCAGTGCCACCCACGAGTTAACTGTGTGCGTAAGTTGGCGACTTAGTGTTGATTAAGCCTTTCACTGTTTTATGTGATGGATTTAACGGTGACCACTATATATGGTTGGCTGCATTATATCAATCATATTCAAAAGGGAAAGAGAACAATGGATCAAAAGAAAAAGTGGGGGGAAAGTAAAAGAGAAGCCATGCCATATTCTCCAGTCTTCACCACCGTACTCTCTGCTCTTTGATTTTTGCTTTTACTTTTCCCTACGTTTTGGCTTGTTGGGTGGGACAAGTTAATCAAATGGTTGTTCATGATTACACCACAAAATCTATTTCATTCAAAATATATAAGATATATGTAGATTTGATAAATGATCATCTAACTATATATAGCGAGGGAATATATGTCAAACAATCATTGCCGTGAAGTCTTGGTCGTAAAAGCTTCTTCGTGTCACCATTCACGTCTTTCTTTCCTGTGATCTAACAACACCAATTATGTAAAGATTTTTATTCACCATGCAAATATAATAATGTGTTTAGGTTAACTTGTTTATAAAGAAATTTTTTTATTTTCTCAATTTATTAGTAACGATTTTTAAAAATTAAATATTATTTTTATATAGAATAGGATCCATTGACATTAAACACTTACACTAAATTCTAATTATACAAATTAAATAATCAAACGATTGAAAAATTACTCGAAAAGTATATAAAGATCCTTTATTGACGAGGGAGGACTGAGCCCTTCTCAAACCACATTAATTTCAGTTTCAGATGGTGATGGTAGATAGGTTTAATTTGAGAAGTTGTTATGGATAAACCTCAATGAGAGACCTCAAGCCCAACACTGGAGTTATCTTGTAGTCACTGAAACCAGCTGAGAAAATCAGTTTGGCCCATTCTTTTTCATTTCTCTCTTTTCCAGGGTACAACACCATCACAACACCATCAGCAAAGAGCTGCGTTTCAATTGATTCATCATTTTGCTTACCGTCCTCCATCACTATATCTATGATGATCAGTTTTTGTTCTTTGCCTTTGTTCTTAATTGTTTCCTTGCAATTCTTCAGTATTTTCATACACTGCTCATCATTCCAATCATGAAATATGCACTGCATGTCATTCAAACAATTTATATGAATCATTAAATGGGTTTAACTTTGTCTTTTTTATAGGGTGGGCGAACAAGGACTCGAATACTGATTGCTATAGATATGTAATATCTTATCATGCTGATCTCGAAAAAATTACTGCACCATCTTACTTCTTTAATTAACATCTAATAAATTTGGATGTGAAAATTGTAGGACTTTTTTTTTTAATATTATACTGAGAAAGTCATACGGTCGTATAGATAACATTGTCAAAGTCGAGAGATAAAATAATTTGTATTAAAAAATTTACAAGATCAACTTTTTTTTTTAGTTAAGGATAGCTCAATATTAAATTTATAATAAATTTAAATACCACCTTAAATTTTAACTATATTTATAATCGACGTGGGATTTTAAAAATTTACAAAAAAAAAAAATCCCATAAATCTAAAGAGATATAAATTATGGGAATGGGCATTTAACCTACCCTACAATTATTCATTTACATAGCCTCCATTTCTATGAGCTAGGAACAATGAAGCAAATTTATATGAGAATTAAATTTTTATAAAAAAAAAACTCTAAAATTTAATTAAATTTACCAATTAATCCTTATGAGAATTAAAGTAATATGACAAAAAAATGTAGTATTGAAAACTTTAAAAGACTAACGTGATACTAAATCAAATCTTTAAAAAATCAATTTGATGTCACTACGATAAGTTTATTTAGTGACACTTTCATCTTTTGAAGAATAAGTTGAAGGTTTTTTTCCTTTTTCTTTGTACCATCCTTGACAAACACCAAAAATAAGTATTTTTATAAAGTATTAAATAAAAAGAATTCTATGTAGAACAAAATAAAACATTTTAAGATATTAAAAACATATTTAAACTTTCGTTATTGATACTGGAACAGTAGTTTACCTTGAACAAAATGGCATCAGCTGGAGGAATTGCTTCAAACATGTCCCCACCAACATATTTCAAGTTGTCTTTTCCTTGCAAACCAGCAACAACATGTGGGAGATCAAATACTGTGCACTCAAGCTGTGGGAATGATTTGGCAATTGCCTTTGCCATAGTCCCTGTACCTCCACCAACATCTACCAATGACTCCAAGCCTTTGAACACCTCCTTGCACTTCTCAACCACCACACTGGCAATCAAATGAGTGTCACTTGCCATTGCATCATTGAAAAGTTCATTAAGTTTTGGCTCAATGCCACAATAATCCCAAATTTTCATTCCATGGGCTGTGTGAAACGGCGAAGGATCATCATTTTTGAACCATGTAGGCAATTGATACCATGGTTTTGTCAAAATTGGATCAACCATGGCTTGCAAAAAAGGTGCCATACTTAAGGGACTGTCCTTGAGCAATAAAGCAGATGAATCAGTTAGTACATAACCCATTTCTAGCTCATTCTCATTGATCTTTTGTTGAGAAAAGAAGCCAGAATGGATCAACATTCGCATCAAACGGTAGATATAATCGGTTTTGGATGGATGAATTGATAGTGAGGCAATAAGTTGTGAGAGTGGCATGGGTTGACCATACTTGTGTATGATATCTGGTATGTCTAAGTCAATTGCACATTTTAGGGACATGGAATTGATGTAGCTGAAAATGTGGTTCCATACATGGGCTTGGGCTTTAAGAAGCTTGGTGGCATTCTCTTCACTTTGGAATTCCATAATTTTACTAATTGAACAACTATAGGTGGATATGTATTGCACTTGTATGAAACCTCACATTACTTACTATTTATAAGGCAAGGTGGTCATCTTGAAGAGTCTAAGAATAAAATATTATTTACATCAAATTATTAAACATGTGTAAAAAGTACGCTCTTATCTGTAAAGTGGTGTATATAATATGTTTCATGCTTTTTTAATTGTGCAATTAATTTGATTATGCGGTACACATGAAGTTAATGTGCTCACAATTAGTAATTAATTCAATCCTACGTGGATCCAATTGGCTGAATGCATAATATAAGTGGTAATCCAATCATGGTTCCAGCCGTGCGATGCATATTTTCATCGTTAGAAAGTAACGTAAAAGATAATAGTTTACTGGAATATTTATTCAATAAATTAGCAATTGGGTCCATGAAAACTATATTACTTGTACGAATTCCCAAAACTTTTAATATATATACTCGTGAAAGAATTAACTTGTTGTAGACTTATGGCCAAATTGAAAATTTTGGAACCAATTCAAATAAGAATAATATTTAGAAAATCAAAACCAACTCAAGTAACATCTTTATCAACCAAATTGTGATTGAGAAATATTAATAATATCTCTATTAAATAGACATGATATTTTTAATTTAAATGACAATATATATTTTTTATCATACTTTTTTTATAAGTGTTTTTCATGTGTAATTTTCTTTTTAATCCCACAAATCCTTTTGTTAACAGGTGATAAATTCAACGTTAAATTAGAAACTTGTCTTTCAAATTATATTAATGTTAAATATATAATATGCAACAATTAATATATATTAAATTAAAAAATTATTAAGAAATTTTTGTTTAAATCACCCTTAAAATTTTAAAGATTATTGAAAATTAACGTTTGAAAAAGATTTTTCATATTATATAAATATTTTATTATAATAAATCAGCAAAAGATTGAAAAAGAAATACTATAAATTCATCCCAAACAACATGCAAAATCCAAATGTATGGATAAAAATTTAACATCAAATATATTATAAAATAAAAACATAATTCAGAGAAAAATACTTATGAAAGATACTTATAAAAAATATTTAAAATAAAAAATAGGTTATTGAATTTAAAATATTACATCACTAAAAATACTAATTATTAAATATTTAATTAAAAATCGAAATTATAAATATTAAATAAAAAATTAAAAATATATAAAGACTAACAAATTAATTTAACTTATATAAAATTAAAAAATTGTTGATAGGTTGAGAGGTAAAGTGAAGATGATAATTGTATAACTCTATCCACATAGTTAGTGAAAATGATGGTCCAATAATTGAATTGCAATGTGTGAGTGTTATATCCTACTAAAAATTAATTTGTAATAGTTTTTTCGTTTTTTGTCTTTTTGTTCTAGTCAGTAGTTATTTACTTCATAATTTATAATGATAGAGATGTGTTATGATTTAAGTATATGGAAAGAGCCTAACTAAAAAATTAGTTCATTTAATTTGGTAAAAGAACTTCAAAATTTAAATATTATATTGAGCATTTTGGCATCTAATCTTTTATATTTACATATACATATATGATAATATTAATAATAACAATAATACTAATATACCTTATCACAATTGAAAGATTGAAATAGGAACACTTCAATGAAAATATATCCTTATCTTTTGAGATCGTACGTGGACCTATCTGACTCTGGTTCACTTCGTGATGAACATTTATTTTCTCGTTTTTTCTTGCAAACAGTTCTATTGTTTTTTAACAAATCGATGCTAAACTTGTTTTCAACATGCTAATAAGATTGAGTTGACAGCTAAAGTTGAATGGGCTTGACAAAAAGTTAAAAAATTCAATTGATAATTCAAATTTCACCGATATTCACGTTAAATTATTTTAATAATTTATTTAATAACTTACGTAATTTACACTTTAACTTTAATTAAATTATTTAATGTGATAGTTCTTAATTATTAACTTATAACAATACATATAATTATAAAAAAATTATCTCTAACTTTTTTATATAAATAAAAGAATTATTATTAAATAAAGATGATGATTTCGAGTTATTTTCACCGTATTATAATAATTAGAAAATGATTTTCTTTTAATCATTAATGAAAACTAAAAAAAATTAGAAAAATTACTAATAACTATAGTAGTCGAAATATTATTTTACTCAAATTTAATCATAAAATATTCAATATGTATACCATAAAATAAAAATATATATATATTGCTATACTCTTTTTTTTTTTCATATTTACATATTATTTTATACTCAATGCTCGTGTTTGTACGTGTGCAATGTACTTAAGTGTGTGTTAAGTGAGTGGTGGGTAAAAGAATAGGGAATATGAGTAAATGAATACAGCCAGTGTGTGACGTGTGCTGTCACGAGGAAGAGAGGAACAGCGTGAAAAATAGAGAGAGGAAACCATTTTTTTAATTGTTTATCATCGTTATTATTATTTTTATTACTTTTTTTTTATGATTATTTGATTTATGTACTTAATTTACAAGGCTTATTAAGATAACTTTATCGGTTCAAGCATTTTCTAAAATATTATTATTATTTATTGATGATTATTATTTCTTTTTTATTTTTTCTCGAATTTAATTAGACTTATAAGGACTGAATTATTCACGTTATCTTAAATTTTTCTAGATTTAATTTTCATTAAGTAAAATAACAAGTTAATTGCTTTCTTTTATGAAATTTAAAAATTGACAATGCAAACAATTCAATAAGTTACACATTTGTTTAATCAAAATTAACGCAACACACATAAATATTAGTATAATTTTTGTTTAACACAAATTAAATTATTAATATAAATTTTAACAGATTACAATAATAATATAGTGTATATTATACTAATATTATTAAAATGAATTCACGTCGTTTATATTAATAATTTAAATTTCTTAAAAATTATATTAACAAAAATCAATGTAATAATAAATTATTAATAAATAACATTTTTTAATGAAAATATGCACAAAAGACCTAATGCAATATATATGAAAAGCCAATGGACAATCTAATTTAGAGCACATGTATAGCACATAACAAACAGTCTCTTTTTTATTTGAAGACAAAGGATTAAGTTTTTTTTATCATAGTTTTTATAATTACTTCTTATAACGAGCAAACGGTTCAATTTGCTAAGACGCATAATGGTCTATTTGTTTAGTGAAGTTAACTCCATTTTGTTGAATTGAAAAATATTAGTTATGTTTAGAAATGAAATATTGCAGTTATATTAAATATTTAGATGGTTTTATTTAACTCAAATAAAATTATTTTTAACAGGAATATACATGCTATAAAAAAAATAGGAAATATTCACATTTAACACAACACTAATATGAATCATTAACGCAAATCTAAAGTCTTTCGGATGCGAAGACATATAAACACTTAACTTCTCCCAGCATTGCTTGAAAACATGAAAACAAAGTTATAATAGACAATTTTGTTTGGATCTAAAAGAATCATTATATATTGTAAAATTCTTATTAAACTTTTTTTAAATTATTTAAATTAATTCCATTATTTGAACTACTCTTTTAAATACTTATGTCATATATTTTCATTTTATTATATATATACTCTTTCTTCAATTACATCAAAAGAAAATTATTGAAAATAAATCTTAATCATAGAAAAATGACATTTCACATGTACAGAAATTAGCTCTATTATTTGAACTACTCTTTTAAGCACTTATGCTATATACTTTCTTCTTGTTTTTTTTATCTCATCACTTCGATCACGTCAAAAGCAAATATATTGAAGACACCATACGGGGTTCCTATATACTGGCCTGGAGGGAGTAATTCCAAAATTAGTGAGGAGACATTTATGTTATGAAGGGAAATTATTACAATAAATTAAAACTTTCCGGGAAAAAGGCACAGATGTAGATTCTGTAGCTCAAGACTGCTTAAGGTAAAAGTCATGTTTGTACAGGTTGATGGTTAGTCGTTAATTACCCAAGCAAGGGCATGACAGGATGCCTTTGATACTACTGTACAAAGCATGACATTTAGAAACTACGTGCCCTCAAAAAATATAAAGGGAGGGAAGAAAGAAAAAGTGTTACATCTAAATCTTCTCATTTACTTCGCCAAACTTTCTTCCTCAATATGAGTATCTATGCATTAGTTTTCAAATGAAGCAATTTCTCTCCTTATTCTTGCCCACCTTTTTCTAGGTTATTAACTTATTTTATTTTTGCATAATATGATTGTAATGCCTCAGCATTATGAATTCTATATTATATATTTTAATATATGTTCTCCATCTCCTTTTAAGGGCTCTTATCTTAAATTCACCTTCATATATATATATATATATATATATATATATATTCTCCACCACTTCATTCAAGGAATATTAAAAGAAGCACCATGATCAGGAAAATGGTGGGAAATTACTTGAGCACTGCTAGGTCTATGTTGCCCCCCTTGATCAAATGATATGAAATTTGGATGGTAGTATTTCACAAACCCATTATTATTGTTTTTGTTATTGATTACCTCATGCACGGCTTGACCCTTCATAAGTTTCCCAGGAATTGATGAATCTTTCATGAGGGAACCACATTGTCTAGGCTGTGTTTGGTAGAAAACTTTGGAGACCACTAACTCCCCTTCCTTCTCCTCTTCATCACTTCCAAGGTGGTATTGGTGCATGACCCAATTCGTTTTCTCAGGCTTTTTTTGCTTTCCATAGTTAGTGTAGAGTACAAGAATTTTCTTGTACCCTTTCAACTTGGCATTGTTGTAGACTGGCCTAGTTTTACCTGTTTTGTGCCAACGGGTTTCACTACCATCCTCATCGGAGTGCACCTTTCTTCTTTTCCTTGTTCCTGTTGTATATGCCTTGGAAGGACGATGAAAGAAATGGCGAATTAGGCCATCTGTGCTAACTCCTGTCACAAAATTTTAACAAAGCAATTAGATGTTAATCCATGTATTCCAAAGATATAGTAATTAAAATTTTTGCTATTTAAACTTTATTTGTATTTTTACAAAAATCATGTATTTCTAATCTCTCAATAGCATCCTGTTTTTTAAATGTAGAGGCTAAAGATAAATAAAATTCAAATAGAAACTAAAATCAATAATGTATATTTGTAGAGACCAAAAGTATATGTCCTAAAAAAAACTAATAACTAATTACCATCTAACGATCGTACATTGAGTGGCACACGTATAATTAATTAAGATAAGGAACAGATCGATGATAAGAAGCTCAAGCTAGGTACTACGTAATAGCAAAGTTAGTTGAAGGGTATCATCATGGAGGTTTAATCCAAAGGATAATATGCATGAATTAATATTGTGATGTAAATTGTCACATCTTTTGCCACAAAAATGTTGTCTCAGCAAAACTGTTTTTTAATTTCTTCTTTTTTATGCTACTGAAGTCGAAAGGCAAGTCACTTAATTCTGACCATGTTATTATCAGGAATTATGTATATTATATATGTTGCTAATCAATATATACCATAACGGCAAAATTAAATGTCACTCATTAGACATATAAGATCTCGATTTTAAATTTTGATTGGAGTGGTGATAATAGTTGCATTGCGATCACAATTGAAAATCGTGTTAATTGTGAAGAGTCGTCAGAAATTAAGAAACATTATTGTAATGAATCAAAAGAGGATTTAAGAGATTGTATGGTATAATATACCTGGCAACTTCTCTGGATGAGTATAGCAGATTCCATTCTCGCCTTCAAGAGTGGGAATGAACTCATCAATTAGGGGGTGAAGTTTATGAATATCAGAGCGCACTTTCGCTTCCAAGTGTTCAAGAATCTCTTGATCTGTGGGATCAAACTTCACTCCAGCAGGTAGTCCAGGTAAATCATGAATTCCACCAGCCTAATTAATAAATACCACAATTTTATATTTCCTTTATATAAAACACTAGAAAAGCTTAAATATACTTCTGGTCATTACAGAGAAAATGTTATTTTGCATTAATTTTAATTACTATTTAAATTTTACTCATTTTTATTCCAAACAATTAACAAAAAAAATGCATTTAAGGACTACAAAAAATACATTTTGTTTATAATTTTTAAATATTAAAAACAAATAAATTCAAGTTAAGACTATTGTTTAAAAAAAGATCATATTTTCAAAGACTGGAAAAAAAAAAATATATATATATATATATATATATATAAAGGAAAAAAACTTAAACAAAGACAATTAATTTCACCCAAAAAGAAAAAAAAAGGGGGTGGGGATTAAAGGGTAATGATATGTGCTTTTTAACAAATGATTCATAACTAAGAACCTGTTCTTGGCATTTGATATGATGACCACATGTAGGACAAGTTCTAATTAAGCTATCCTTTCGTCCCTCCACTATGATGCTATGATGATTGTTTTCAGGGTCCTTGCACTGAGTCATTTCCTTGTTTTCCTCTCCCCTTCCTCAGTCATTCCCTTTATGGAGATCTTCTTTTCCTTGTTTTCCTCTTCTGCTTCTATAAAACAAATGGAATATAGAAACTAAAAGAGATCGAGACTGAGGGGTACAAAGAGAGAGAGAAACGTTTGAGTTAAGAGAGGGATTTAAAGTAGTAATAATTAATAAAAGAGACAAAAGGAAAACTTGTCTCTTCTAAAGCTTACTCTCCCCTCATGCCACTACTTGTTAAGGAGTGGGAAGGAATTAAATTCTCCCTCACTTTTTTGTTGCTCACTTTTGCATGAGCGATGAGTATTGCACTCCTTCCCAATTAACCTATGCTTGCACTTAACGAGAAAGCGGAGGGAGAGAAGCCCAAAAATCTAAATAGAGAATAAGATTAACAATTAGATACATGGTTGGTTGTAGAGGGAGATATAAGAATATAATAATGGGATTGCTTTGATCTCAAGTTTAGTTCTGCTTTGTATACTGGTATATGAAAACTTGTAGAAGAATAAATGTAGCGTTTTTGGTCACTTTTGTTTTTGCAAGTGTTTTTGTCCCTTTTACTCTGACTAAAGCTAGCTTTAATGAATTTCTTAAATAAAACAGGTTTAAATTTGGAAAATAAACAATTAAAATATGGATAGAGAGTTGAGTGGGATTGGGGCAACCTAATGTATAAGCACAAAGAATTTAGGTCCAATGTCACCCTGGAGTGTAGATAAAGTTAAAAAAATATAAATACCTGAAAAAAATTAAGAAGAAAATTGAAGTGAACAATTTTCAGCCAACCATAATTCCATTCCTTCACGTAGACTTATCATGCATACCAAGAAACCCCTTATATCTATCTTTTTCTAGTCCTAAGGTGACTTAGACAGTCTTAGTTCTCCATATCAATAATGGTTGTAGGCATTTACTATCTGTTGCCATATGGCAAAAGCAAACGTGAGCTTGTGTCAACAGATAATAATTGAAATACTTGAAAACAGTTTCTAATAATTTTCAACAATTATTTCACTAAGATCTTTGCTTATCAACCTCATTCTACACAAATGATTTGTCTATATGAACAAGACAGAATTTGTATATTAATGAGTTTCGCTGCAATTGGAAGTACCGTCCCTACGTTAGTTTATGCGTGTAAATAGATGTGTAGATAACCTTATTTTTCTTATATCTATTTGTACTATAAACCCGTCTAACCACTATACACGAGCCAGATTGTTTAGAAAATAAATTTCTCATTCAGTTAGTTGGATTGTAATTGTGATTTTATTTGCAATGATGGGTGTTTTGAATTATGGGAATATTATGGTCTTTTGCCGTGCAAATACATAGGTTGATATTTTAGTTTATCTCAAACGCAATATGACTTTTTATTCATAAATTACAGGACAAAACGTGAGGAAATAATTATGTTATGACTTTTTAATTAGGTCATTCCATAATTTCTATACTATCTAAGAAAAAATTAGTTCTTTTAATCCTCTAATTTTGTCAATTGTGTTATATTTTTCTTTCTGAATATATTTTTAAAAATATATTTAATATATTCAAAAATTAAATTTTGAAAATGATTTTAGAACTTTTTTAAGTTAAATTATAAAATTTATTTGCAAATCATATTTACAAATTATATATATATATATATAGAACTAATTTTATACATTTAAAAAATTAAATTTCAAAAAGTGATTTACAAATCTCTTTTAAAATTTAATTTTTAAAATATATTAAACTTTTTTAAAATTATATTTTAAAACAAGTATAAAAGAATTTATACAAATAGCAACAAATTAAGAGGATGATGCAAATAGCAATCTCTTGTTCAAGTAAGGCAAAATTCATTTTATATATTTTAAGTCTACGTACCTTTGTTGTAACAAAAATAAAAGTCCACAACACTTCTTCAAGTAATTAAATATAATTTTTTTATATTAATTTAATACATTTGTGAAATCATAGGTATTTAAAATTAAATTATATATAAACCTAAGTGTGTGTTTATTATTGGATAGATGTATGCAATTGTGAATGAAATGTACAAATGGAAATAGGCAAGACGATTTACTTAATAATTAGACACCACTTTTAGGAAAGTTAATTTATCTAAGTAAATGGGCTGAGTTTTAAGTATTTCAAAATGTCTATTTATTCTTTTAGCTTACTTTATTTTTTATTTTTTGGAAATAGGGGGGCCACAGCCCCATAACTTATTATTTAAATATATAATTAAAACTTTAGAACACTTTAATCTAATTTATTAGTTATTGATCAATATAACACGTTAACTTTATACATAAAATAATAAATTAATGAAAGTTGTACTAACCTAAAACCTTAAATATTTTGACCTATTGAAATGCTTTTATGTGATGTAATTAAACAGGACTTGAGCAAAGTCAAATTTTCATTTTGCAATATACAAAACTGCAAGTCCAAGCACCAAAAAGAAAATATATGCTAGATAACGTTTCGAGGTTGGATAACAGGTCAAGCTACTAATAGGGCAAATGTCAAGTTAAAAAGTTAACCTATTTTTATATATTGTTCACCATTGAATTAGAACAAATAACATGAGATCTCACCAAGATAAGCAAGAAATATAATAGTTAAACATAGGTTTAGTTTCTGTTCTATATAGGGAGTGACTGTACTTAATATTAAATAATTGATATTTGCTTGAATATTCAAGTATGATCAAATATCAACCAAACGTGTATCATGACCTAGAGCCAATGGGACCCACACATGCTGAAATTTTCACTTTAGTTAACTATTAAAGTTGGTGACCCATTGTCTTTGCCAAATATAGAAGCCCAGCAATCATAAAAGCATAAACTTGAAGGCTATGGAGAAGCCGTATTTACATGGCAGTATCATTATCAACTCTTGAAAGACAAAAAAGATATATATTGGACATTTCGAACTCTTGTGATATATGATGAGAAGCCTTTTCGATTGTGTCCCCATTTTCTTTTCCACACCCTCTTTTTTTATGTCTTAATTTCAAGTGAATTATTGATTTCTCAGAACTGGAGTAGTTTCAAAACTGAAATTATATAATACATCATTTTTACACAATATATAATTAAGGAAATAAAAAATATTTATTACTTTAAAAATATAAAAATTGTATGTATTTCATTAAAAAATATGTATTTATTATTTTAAAATATAAAAATATTTAATATTTTCTTCATTTAATAATTAAAAATTCATAAATTACCTAAATTAATTTTTTAATAAATTAAACCAAACATAATTTAATCATTAATTTGGTTTGATTTTAAATATTATGTTATGCATTATTTTTCAAAATAAGATTAATTTATTTCTGTAGCATGAGTTTAAGAGATCCCATGTGTACTATTAGAGCAGACAAAATTTAGACGAAGTTTTAAATATGTTTTTAGTCAAATTATTTAATCAAATGACGATATGTGTATTTTTTTTTTTTTAATGATATAATTTCTATTGAATATATGTTGTAAAATTTAAAACAAATATGTAAGTATCATTATTAATTAAATTTAAAAATAATAATTAAATTGTAAAAAACGTATAGATCCTAGTTCTCAGGAAATTATGGTTTAGACTTTGCCTGGTCTTCTGCAAGATCTTCTTCTTTCTAAAGTATTTGACTCATTATCGTCTATAATGAGTTTGAATATTGCCTTACAGAGCAAATCAATTATTCCCAAAAATGATAGCTAGATCCCTATGATCCACGTTCAAATCTTTTATATATGCACGTATTCCCCATTTCTATTTATTTTTTATGTAACATTAATTTTTTTCTTTTAAAATTGTCATATCTCATAATTTTAAAATTTACTTTAAAAATGACTACTAGAATAATTCCTTGTTAATCCAATTTACCCCACTGTTCCAATTTTTTAAAAATTATTAATACTACTTTCCCCTATTTATCTATCAAGAGATATCAAAAATTGTGTCTTTATTTATTTGTTTATATAGAACTTAAAGGTACTGTTAATTATTTTTCGTTTATATCTTTTTATTCATATAAAAATTTTACGTAAAAAAATAGTTATATTAGTTGAATAAAGACTCGTTGCTAAATAATAAATTAGAAAATAATTCTAATAAAATGATTAAGTTTCTTGATTCGTGTAGTCATAAGCTTAGCCAATCTCTTTTTCTAAATACATAAATAAAAATATATTTTTTAAAAACAACTTATTTATATTATTTATTTGAGGTTAGTAGTTATAAGCTTAGCCAATGTTTGGATAGGTATATATATGTAACAAAATTAAATTGAGCACAGGTTTTTAATTGTGATTTTATGAGAAAAAAAATGATATTTGATTATTTCAAATTTAAATTATTTTTCCTACTAAAATATGCCAAACTATAAGTAAATTAAAAATTTGTGTTGAGTTGAGAAAATATATATTAATTTTTTTAATTATAACTTTGTTTTGAAGATACAAAGTCTTAAATATGAATAATTTCATTTTAAATATACTTTTAATATTAAAAAAACTACTATCATCTAAAGTAAAATTTATAAATACTTACTCAAACACATGCTACTCATTAAACCATGTTGTCATATGTTTATGGCTGTTAGTTTGAAAAAATATATCTTAATGGTAAGAATTTATATACTTTACCGTTGAAATTATTGACTAACGTCTACGGTCAACTTCAGACATTGTAACACATTTATTATTGAATTTTAAATCATCTTTTCAATAATAAAGATGTTTACCATATATTAATTTCATATTAAAGCCATGCATGTATTAATAGTAATATACAACTCTTTGAATATTGACATTCCTAAATAACTTATGAAATTATTATTATTATGAAAAGTTTGTCATTAAACTTTTTAATAATATTTTTATTTTTTTATAACTATAATTAAGAGAAATAATAGAAAATGTATCAAAATATAATTAGTATATATTTAAAAATTTATTATAAAATTTAAGAAATATAAGTTTTCACATTGTACAAATATTTCACTTAACATTTTAAAATGAATTATAATTACAGTATTTTCCCCCTGAAAAATATATATAAGAAGTTAAGAAATACCCATTATAAAATCTTTAACAAATAAAAAAAATCGAGCCGTTTTATTTGTCAAATTAAATATATCACTTGAGTACAAATAGGATTAAAAACTGTATCTAACTGTTATTACAAGCAAAGAAAATAAAATAAAGTTATATAATTACTAAAGCTTAAATATGAGTCCTCTATCATATTTTATAAAATATAAATGTGTTCAGAGAAATTTATTTGTTTTTAAAAAAATAAATAACCTAACTAGTTATTATTACGTAAAAGGAAAGCCACCGAACCAGACCCTTTCAGAAGTTGACAAGGGACCGAAACAACATAAATCAGGATGGCCATATTAGATAAACATTTATAGGCTTCTCTGTGAAACAACAACTTAATGCCATTTCGGTTTAAGAGAATTGAATATAACATAAAATTATATTGTTTAATTTTTAAAGCAACCTTTATCTATATACTGAACAAAAGCTCAGAATTTTTGTTAATTGCTAAATAAGTGTAGTGCAAAATTTAAGCCAAACAGTTCCCATGAAGGGGGATATTGAAAAGATGTCAATTCAAACAATGGAAGAAAGGAACTTATGAACGGCACATAGCCAATTACCAACCAAAAAAATATCCATTATATTTCAAAATGAGGTTCCTTCTGTTCATGGAAACACAGAGGGGCCCCTCCTCTTATGGCAAGAACAAGACTCGTATTCATTCATTTGTGATATGTTTTCCAGTAATCACCACTGTGTTACCTCAAATTCAATTACCTTACCTCTGCCTTAGGTAGCCACTGTTCCAGATGGGGGCTTAATCAAATATTTCAGAAAACTTTGCTGACATTTATTGACCTTTATCCTCACTGAACCAGCTTTGTTGAGTCATTATATAATATTTTAATGTTTTGTGCTCACATTCACACTCAATATAATATTTTTATGGTTTTTTTAACGCCTTAAGAAAATAAAAAAATTATTAAAAATTATAGCATTTAATAGTATTTATATATTAAATTATATGATATTTTGTCACATGTTAAAAAATTAATATTATTATTAAAAATGTAATCGTGTTTAAAAAAATTTAAAATTAATGTCTGAACTCTGAAGTGGTCTACCAATTCAATTCAAATTAATTAAATGTCTAATACGATATACATTCTAATATTGATCCTCTTATCCAATAATAATAATAATGTTTATATTATGCGGTGTTTATGTTAATATTTTTGTGACTTTTATGCTGCGTTTGTATGAACTAAAATGAGAAAGGTTGAAATGGATAATTTGGCAGGGCTGTGAAAGAGAGATTAAAAAAAAATTAACCGAGGCTCACAGTTTTACATTTCATTCTCATCTAGTTGGCAAAAGCATCCGAAATGGTACAACTGTTTTTTTTAATATTTTTATTTATTAAATAATATTTTTATAATTATAAAAAATAAAAAACATATATGATAATAAAAAGTTTAATTAAATTTATTTTGTATAATTATTTTATTATAATTTAATTATTTATTTCTACTCTAATTCTTTCTTATTTTACATTTTTTTGTTTAGAAAATCAATATAAAAAAATGTAAAGATATTGGGTGTACTTTTTTTTATCTAATAAAGATCTTACGTATACATAACTTTTGCATCTGCATGCACCCCTCGTGGATTTAAATAAAAATTAAAAAAAGTTATTGTAAAAACATATTATAAAAATAATATGATTAAAAAAATCTTATGATTGAGATTAATCATACTTGGCTTAGTTAGGGGAATGCTAATTGCATGTGCTCTTCGAATTTTTGCACTTTACCCACTGCCTAGTCTCTAACATTTTCCCCTTGTGTTGATTTTTTGTCAGTCATTTGTTTTTGTTTTATTTTGTCTCAGTTCTAGTGGAAAAGAATTAGGCTGCCCGGAAGTTTGAATTTTTGTTACCTACTAAATTAAGTAATAAACTTTTTGTATCCATAACATTAAAAGATGAATAGACCGTTTCACGTAAAACAAACAATACACAACCTTAAAACAAAAAAACTTTATAATAAATTATGTTGGGTACCAATTGATGATTACCACACAATTTTCTACGAAAAATTTTAAAGTGATTCAATCACTTTCCCATGTTAATATGTATTATATAACAGAGCCTTAGCTCTAATGATTTCTGACAGTTGCTGTATACTATATATCCCCTAAACAGAATCGATCTTCAAAATTTCACCCTTCTCATAATCCACTAAAGTTAAGCTGTCTATTTTATATCACATTGCTCAAATCAACTATGCTTCCCTAATACTATAAGATGGACCTTCATGGTATGAAGAGACTTTATCATCGTTAGTATTTTTGTATTTGGGAGCTGTTGTTACTTCTTGAAGCATTTTCACTACATTCCTCATTGTAGGGCGAGATATAGGAAGGGAACTGGTACAATGAAGCGCCACGTTCAATACCTTGCTGATTTCTTCCATGTATTTGGAGTCGAGAGTAGGATCAATCACATGATCCATTCCTTCATTTTCCAATGCAGAGGAAACCCACTTCACAAGATCATTTTCACCATATTCTGGATCAATGGGGGGTCTTCCAGTTACCAACTCCAAAATCACCACGCCAAAGCTATAGATATCACTCTTTTCATTCACCCGAAGAGTATACGCGTATTCTGCTCCTCAAAATATAGTAGCATGTATCAAATTAAATTTCTCAACTTAGAAGCTATAATTATCTGTTCTACTATGAATCAAAACATGCTACAAGTTCATTTTTATATCTAGATAGGAAAGTATTACATGATTGAGTTCTCACCATGGAGACAAATGAAGCACAAATATAGCATACGGTCTAAGCTTATAAATTTATGTGCTATGTGCAGGATGATGATTGTTTAATATAGTATGAAATTATCAAGATAAAATAACATATCACAAACCTGGTGCAATGTAGCCATAAGATCCTGCAATCACAGACATTGATTCTGCACCTTGGCTGGCTCCTGTAACCATTTTGGCAACCCCAAAATCAGCGAGTTTTGCCACAAACTCTCCATCCAGCAATATGTTGTTAGATTTCACGTCCCTGTGAACAATGGGTGGGACACAATCATGATGCAAATAAGAAAGCCCCTCAGCAGCATCAATAGCAATTTTGTACCTAGTGGGCCAATCCAACCGATTTTTCTTGCAACCCTTTAACACATCCGCCAAGCTCCCATTTGGCATATACTCATAAACCAGAAGTCTGTGATCACCATTATTGCAACAACACCACAACTTTACAATATTTTTGTGCCTAATCCTTCCCAGCGTCTCAACTTCAGCCTCAAATTCATCTTTTCCAGAAGCAACATTTTCATTCGCACTCGCAGATACTCCCCACAATTTCTTCACTGCCACCACCTCACCATTGCTAAGCACCACCTTGTAGACCTTCCCAGATGCTCCACTTCCTATTACATTGTCTTCATTCAGCAATTTAGCAACCTCAAACTCACTAAACCCCAACTTATGAAAAGACCTCCACCTTGAAGTGCTGAAACCCTTCTTCAATTTCCTCACTTTTCTGCACTTCAAGTAAAACCAGACCACCCCAACAATGAACACAACTCCAGCAATCACAAATATGGACCACAAAATCCACACATAGCTCCGGTTCTTACTCTTACCAGAGCCATAACAAAGCCCAGAGTGATATCCACAGAGCCCAGGATTTCCAACAAAACTCATTTTATACTTGTCATTGGCATAAAGGGGAGGAATAACACCAGATAGATGGTTGTAAGACAAATTCATCTCAGAGAGCTTCAAATTCTGCAACTGGAGTGGGATTTCACCAGAAAAATTGTTGAGTGAAAGATCAAGAGAATTCAGCAAAGACAAGCTTCCTAATTCTCTTGGAATTTTACCATCAAACTTATTATTTGCCAAATTAAGTTCAGTGAGCTTAGTCCAATGACCAATTCCCCCAAAAAGATCACCAGAAAGTTGGTTATAACTAAGATCAAGATTAACCAACTGCCCCAAATTTGACATACTCTGCGGAATCCGACCCGAAAGATCATTATGGCTAGCAGCAAACTTCAAAAGACCATTCAACAACCCAAATTCATCAGGAATCGACCCTGAAAACCGGTTATTCGAAAGCAACAAACTTGAAAGTTTATAAGCACCGGAAATCGCATTAGAAATGTGCCCAGAAAGAGAATTCTCGAGAAGCTCGAGCAATTCCAAATGGGGTAGACCCCAAAACGCTTCGGGGACCGTGCCTGAGAGGTTATTGTTCCTTAACCGAACCCTCTTTAAGCTCTTGCAGTTCCCAAAATTTTCATGGATTTCCCCAGAAAACGAATTGTACATCAAGATGAATTGCTCCAACTGTCCTCGCCGGCATAGGTTCGCCGGAATCCCGCCGGTAAATTTGTTGTTCGAAACATCAATGTGATTCAAGGGCGAGTTACTCCCTAAATCACTCGGCAACGTCCCAACGAGTCCGTTCGTGAACAATTTGAGTTCATAGAGGTTGGGAGAACGAGCAATGCTCGCCGGCAACGACCCTTCGAGATTGTTCTCGTACAAATTGAGCGAGGCGAGTGGCAACTCGCTTAACTCGTCGGGAATCGTCCCAGTCAACTCGTTCATTGACGCGTCGAAGAGTCGGAGATTCGTCATGTTCGACATTCCAGTGGGTAACTCACTGGAGAGCGAGTTCTGGTAGAGCTCGATCTGGTTCACGCGCTTCAAGCGCGTGAACGATTGTGGAATGGAACCAGTGAGTCTATTTGCTGACAAGTCAAGGTTCGTTAAGCGAGCGAGGTTACCGAGAGAGTGTGGAATGGGACCCACTAGGTTGCACTGTGCGAGCCAGAGGTTTTCAAGGTTGGTGAGGTTACCGAATTCACTCGGTAACGGACCCGGTTTGAACGAGTTATAAGCGAGTTGAAGGTCTTTCAACGAAGTGATGTTACCGAGAAAATTGGGTATTGTTCCGTTGAAGAGGTTGTAAACGAGGATGAGTGTTTCGAGATGGGGGAGGGTGGCGAGGGTCGCCGGAATGTCGCCGGAGAGATTGTTGCTGGAGAGGTCAAGGGATTCAAGGGTGGTGATTTGGGAGAGGGTGTCAGGAATGAGACCCACAAGGGCATTTTGGGAAAGGTCGAGGTGGCGGAGGCTGCGGCACCCGGCGACAGCATCGCCGGAAAGGGTGGAGTTGATGAGGTTGTAAGAGAGAATGAGAAACGAGAGAGAGGGGAGGCGGCAGAAGGAGGCGGGGAAGGAGCCGGAGAGGGAGGCGTTGATGAGTTTGACGGTGGTGACGGCGCCGGAGACAGGGTCGCACGTGACGCCGCGCCACCGGCATGGCGTGGCGTCGCGGGAGTTCCACGAAGAGAGAGAATTGTTGGGGTCGGAGAGTTGGCGCCTGGCTTTGAGGAGGAAGAGACCGTCTTGGTTCAGAGAGAGAGAGAGTGGCGGTGGAGAGAGAAAGAAGAGGAGGAACAGAAGCAACTGAAACATCTTGCAACGGTATTGTTTAGGAACTCCTAAGGTAAGTGGAAGAGAATGTAACAGGGTTCTGTTTGTTATCGCTGGTTTTGGTTGAGCTCAATGTCTGCCTTTGAGAGTGTGTTAGTTTTGTCATTTTGCAAGGGAAAAAAAACACAGGAAGTGAAAAGAACAGAGGTGGGTCCCACTATCTCTCACTTGGTTCCTTCTTGGATAGTGTGTCGATGAAAGAACAAAACTTTAGAAATGCAGTATTATTCTTATTTTTCTGTTATTTAATTAAAATTAAAATTTTATTTCAGTACTATCAAAATAATGTATTTTTAGTGCGTTTAAGGGACGGTATGATTATCGAGGTAATAACACTGATAACGTTATGCTTAATTTTGGTCCAATTAGAATGGACTTTGATGGGATGAATATAAAGGCATTAACGCAAGCAAGCACGAGACTTGGCATGCTCAATGCCATTCTGCTTCTCTCTTCACGTTTTCTTTGCAAGTCACAAATTCCAAGTAATGGTAACAGTTTCAAATTCTTTCTTTTTCTTGATTGTGCTTCACGATCTTAGTTCCTTTTTCAAAGAAAATTACAGTTCATTGTTGAGTTTTAAAAACATTAAAAAAAAGTAAAGTGGACAATGCTACGAGCTTCACTCGACTGTGTTGAGCGTTGCTGGTTAGAAGAGGCGGAAGAGGTTGCTCAAAATATTATGGTATATAAAGTATATCCACATCTACATTTTTATGCAAGAGACATTGAAGACAAATGCTTATAACTACCCGTTGAAACCTGAAGCTGAATTAAGGTATTTTCCATTAAAATTTGACGTACCCTAATTTGGATAGCACTAAATATTTACCTTGCTGACGTGTCAAGTAATAAATGGCATTCAATAATATAGTTACGCACGTTTGACTGGACCAAGAATCAAGATAGGACGACCATAAATAATTGAAAATACAACACACTTTCAATTACTTGAACGAGAATCGAAGATGTAAGTGAGTTTTTTAAGTTTATTCACCCAGAGAGCGAGCCAAATTAGAGCATGCTAACTATACACACCACAGTCACAATTCACAAGTACAACAATGACGTAACAGTCACTTTTATCTAAAGAAACTATTTCTTTTTTTAGACTTTTTTACATATAATTAAAGATATATAATAATATATTTTATGTATACTTTTTTATCCAAATAATAAAATTTAATCTACTAATAATATAAATTTTAAAAAATCATCTTTTTATTTATTTTAACACAAAATATACAGATTAAGAAATTAATTAATATTTTATTTATATTAAATTTATTTTAATTCCTTTAAATGATATATATTATTATTTCTTTTATTAAAGCATAAAAACATTTAAAATTAAGTGGCGATACGGATATGATTAAAAATATATTTTTTTTTCAATTTTTAAGATAGACAGATAAATATTTTGGTGAAAACAAAGTGGAAGTGAATTTTTTATTTTTAATAAATATTTTTAATTAAAAATTTATAAAAATTAATATAAGTTAATACTCTTAATTTAAAAATAAATTATTTATTTATCCTTGTTTGAAAATATATCATTCTCAAAATGGATAAAATAGTAATCAGCGAAAGAACGAAGAAAATTGAAGCCATGCAAATTGTTGGAGTGGGGATAATCCACTTCCAGAAAAGTTGCTCATCCTTGGCAAAGATAAAAGACGGAAAATGTTAACTTTACCCTTAAAAGGAGATATTTAATTAAAACTATTTTCTTATAACATACTTTTAAAAACATGTGAAAATAAATAATAATAATAATAATAATAATATATCATGTACTTTAATCTTTGACAATTTAAATTTTGATGACTAATATCAATAACGTACTCTTACTACACATTTTTTTATTATTAATTAAATTTATTAAAAATTAAGTGTATCATATTTTTTTTTTCGCTTTTAAATAATATTTTTTATCGTACCTTGAAAATTGAAGGAAACTTCTTGACGGTGGAAACTCATAATGTAGAAGAACGTGGATTCAATTCTTTGATTGGATCGTGCAGTGAGTGTATTTGACATAATCATTTAAGTAAAAAAAATTATTTAAATAAAAATATAAAATTTTATTTGATTAAACGGTCTAATTTCTTCCTAAACGGAATTGGATCCGATCTAATGTAGAAAGACAACTTTGCAAGTTCTTGTAGTTTTCTAGTGTCATCTCGCAGAACAGAAAGCATTGCTTCTTTTTGACTCTTGAACCATTCTCATACTGTGCCCAACTAGCAGTGAAATATTCAGCAATCAAGTTATGAACGAAGTTGAAGTATCAAATAAATAAATTTCTTAAAGTTGAGACTTAATTTATTAAAAATGAAACCCGTTTCGTATGGGTTTTACTTATTTAAAAATATAAATTTTGAATTTGGATCAATTGCTTTTTGTTTGATTATCAGCATCCGGGACACTACCAATTGAACTAGTTATTTACTATTATTTAATCATTTTTAAATTATTTTCAAGTTTATTAATTTATTATTCAGTAGTTATATTTACACTTAAAAAATAATAAAAAAATATGATTTTCTAGTATTTATGAAGATAACAAAAAGACTAGAAGATGATAGATATAAGATAATAATAAATAAAATTAGAAGTTTTCATGTAAATTTAATAAATGAAGTTATATATATATATATATATATATATATATATATATATATTATGTATCTCCCTTTGTCTATCGATGCTCTATAATACCTAAAATGTAAAGTAATCCAATTTTTACTAAACAAGTGAATACATTGGCTCAAATAGTATTAAAATCTAAAGATTTAATTAAATATTTGCATGCACTTAGTTCAGAGAAAGAATGTCTTGAATTAATGAGATCATTAAAAGTCCAGAATGGGCAACACTTAAAATTATTAGTTCAAACAATAAGACTTTCAAGTAACTTCACAAAATGTGTAAGATACTTACAAACCTATGACTTTATAAAATGTGAAATGTTCGTTAAGGAGAATCACATTAAAATTGCTTATTAATGTGAAATTGTCAATAATATAGGCCTATCGTCTATTTCGAGCGGCTATTGAGATTCACAAAAGGATATATATCTCAACAAAATCAAATTAAAAAAAGTTCCAAGATAAGTAGGGATGTGAAACTACCTGGATATAAATACTCATAGCATATATATATTTTTTACTTAATATCAACATTTTATTAAGTATTTAAATCTTTTATAATTCTAAAAGAATTAATAATATATATTAATAGATTATTAATTTAATTCACAATTAAAAAATTCTGTTTCAAAATCACTTTTAAAATATAGATACTTTTACCCGTAACAAATATTTAATTGCAGTGAAATTTTAGTATAATTTTGACATCCTTAAAGAATGGACTAGAAACCAGACACATGACTCCCAGATATAAATGCAAGAAAGTGTTGGTGAATAGTGTAAGAATGCCTATTTTATAATTTTTAAAATTTTGGTTTTCCAATTGAACCAATAATCCAGTAACTGAGTTTAACAATACTATGCTATACCGTTTAAACTAAGAAGAAAAACAAAATATCCTCTATTACAGTATTAATATAGCGGTGGCCTACCCCACAACATTAGTGTGTACCTGCCGCCAAATCAATGCTATAAATAAGACTGTTAATCCTAATACACACGATTATGTATGACTAAAGATTGTGACCTATAGAAATCTTCATCTATTAATTCTTCCTCTATGATGTCATTATCATGATTTGCTTTTCAAAGTTTCTAATTAACTTTCTTTAAGTTTTTTCTTTTTGTTAGCTTGCTCCTTTTTCTAAAATAAAATTAAATTCAATGCTTTTATACTTTTATTCATTCACTTACCAACATCAACTAATTTAGTACCCATTATTTTTTACGTTATTTTTTCATGGTAAAAATTATGCTTACTATATGTAAATCTATTTAGTTATATATGTTCTCTCTTATATTATTTTAGTATTATATTGAACTTTTTATAGTCCTTAGTGTTTATAACGATTTCAAAATTTAATTATCGTAGAAAATTTTAATTGTAATATATTTATAAATAGAAAATAATCTATGTAATATTTAAGAAATAAAATAAACTTTGTGTAATCAATCAAAACTTTATGTAATATTAATAAGGATACTTTTATCAATTTCATGTCAAAATGAAGGTTTCTAATTTAAGTATAGAATATTTTTTAAATAGAGAGAGTTTTATCGGTCTTTAATTTAATAAATCAAGGTAATTTTTCAAATTAATCTTGGGATGATTGCATATAATATAAACATTATTATATCAATATTATACGCTGAACTTAATGAACAGTTATATATAATTAAAAAAAAGTGCTAAAAGTATAACTTTATAACATATTTTATAAATTAAAATTTATTAAGAATTAGAAAAAAGAAATAAAATTATAAAATAAAGAGTAAAATTTATAGGATTTTTATAATTTTAATAAAATTTAAAGCTAATATTTTTTTTAATAATAATAAGAAGAGCATTAAGATCACTTAGGATGTAGACATAAATAAATAAACAAAGTTAAGCACAGAGAGGATACGGCGTTTCAACAACGTCCCCAAAAGAAAGAGATTAAAAAAGCAGCTACATTTGTACATTACCCAACATCTGTTAAAATCTTACCAGAACATATAACCTAACTACACAAATTAAAGGTAAACTGAAAACACCTCTAATAAAAGCAAATAACCGTATACCAAAAGAAAACAAAAGCAAATAACCTACTTAGCATGTAACCTTTCAATTTGAGACATGCTATTTGTATTGAAAAAATTGTACAATTTTTGTTACAATACAGAAAAATAATAAAAAGAAAAAAAAATATATGATAGAATTTTATTTTTTTATCGTAAGCATATTATAGCTTTCAGTTTTGTTTATTGCTAAGCGTGTAACCTATTTCTTACCATAAATAGCTTAATATAACATTCAGTTCCATAGCAGTTACAGAAGCACTGATGATACATTTAAAAATGCATTTAGTTAATGTGATAACAAACCTTTAGTGCCAAAGATAACCACGACACGACAACCTCATAACCCAAAAACAAAACTGAACCAAAGAATTGTCTATTTAGCACATTTATGTTTTTCAGTTTGCTGTACATGAATACATGTATAAAATAAAGGCTAGACTGCACACAAGTTTCAATTACACAATACCAAAAACTGAAAAGTAGATTGAAAAAAGAAAAAAACTAGATATTTTTCCCACTTCTATTTTTTTTCATGGATGTTGTTCATGTGGACACTCAACAACCCCTTTTGGAAAACGCACCAGCATCCCAAAAAGCTCCCAAAACACCAGCACAAAAGACAATGAGAAAGGCCTTCAAGGGCACAGCACATTTGACTAAGCTTCTTCCAACAGGAACAGTTCTCTTATTCCAAACTTTGTCACCAGCTTTCACACACCAAGGCCAATGCAATACCCTAACAAGTAAGGCCATGACCATTGGCCTCTTAACCTTTTGTAGCCTCTCATGCTTTCTTTTGTCATTCACTGATAGCTTCAGGGATGAAAGGGGAAAAGTTAGATATGGGGTGGCTTCATTCAATGGACTTTGGGTTATGGATACGTCAGTGAGACTTCCAATTGATGAGGAAGCTAAGTATAGGTTAAGGTTCATTGATTTCTTTCATGCATTTATGTCAATATTGGTATTTTTGGCAATTGCACTCTTTGATGGAAGTGTTGTGAGCTGTTTTGTTCCAAAGCCTTCTGAGGAGACCAAGGAGCTTCTTGTGGTATTGCCTATCGGGATTGGCTTGGTGTGTAGTGTTCTATTTGTTGCATTCCCAAGCCAAAGACATGGGATTGGCTTCCCTCTCTCGCGCAATTAGTTGATCTTGTTCTTTGTTTTAATGGCATGCATTGTGTATTTCTTATTAAAGCCTTGGAAAATTATTTGCATTTTTCTTTGCAGCTAGTGTTGTTGGATTAACCGATAGCACAGTGTAAATAAATGGCATGATATGTGGGTCCCTGTTGATATCAGATTCAATTATTGAAATACTTACACACCTCAATTGGGTGGCAGGAAACATTGAACAAGTTTTAAGTGGTTTTATTTTGCTTTACACTTAAATAAAAATAAATCAGATTTCTATAGCCTAGCAATAAATTACTCATAAAATGGTCCTCTGTACATCTCTCAGTTTTAGGAAAAGTACTTTAGAATATAATTTATAAGAGAGTATTTGAACTTATAAATTATTCTAAAATAATTTTATAGCATATTTTATAACTCTTATGACTTTTTATTTTACTAAATTTATAGGTGAAGCTTATGTATATTTTGTTTATTTCAATTATAATCAATTTTATAACATAAATATATTATAAAATATAAGTTTATTGATCATACACTTAATTAAATGGTTCAATCATATACACTCTTAGCTACTTTTTGTTGAGAGCCCATCTCTCATTTAGGTTATGAAAATAATATTTTGATATAAAAAATGTTCTATGCTAGCTATTTATTTGAAGAGAAACACTGACATATTTTTTAACACATTCTCATTTAAAAGACTAACATGTCTTATGAATCAAGTGATTAAATTCTAAGAATCTAATTAAGATGACATAGTGTATATATTGAAATGTTACAATTTAATTTGCATTTTTAAGACTAAAAAGAACAAATTCAAAGTATGGTTTTAAATTACCATCGTTGTGTTTCCATTGTGATGACTAAAATTGCGAGCGAATGTGTAATCAAGAAATGTGATCGTTGAAACTTCAGAAAACCGCAATAATATAACCATAGTTTAAAATCATATCATCAAAAAAAAATTTTGAGGGCCCTCACCTACTTACATGACATAGGATATATGCTGGCAAATATTATATTAAAATATTAATAATAATAATAATAATAATAATAATAATAATAATAATAATAATAATAATAATAATAATAACAATAATATGTTTCATATGTATTTAAATCAGCTAGTTTATTAGACTTAAAAAAAGCTTTTAAATAGTCTACAATGTACTTTTTAACTAAACAATATTTTGAAAGAACTTAATGCACAAGATTTTCAATACTGAGCATAAAAAATTGTTCTAAGATATTCTACATTGACTAAAAATATAGTTAAAAATCTAGCCAAAAAAAATATAGTTAAAACACTTGTTTATAAATCTTGCAAAATTCTCCTCTTTTGAGCTAATTTTTTAGATTTAATTTTTTAATAATCAATCCTAGATTATTCTGTGAATTGTCTCTGATTTTGTAAAAAATATTTTATTTTACATTATTTTCTATTATAGATTGAATAAATATAATTCTATAAATTAAAACTAATAAAATCATTAAAATTTCAAAATCTAAAAAACATATATAGTCCATATAATCTCGGTAAGCAATTTAAAAACTTTCTCCAACATTAGTTGTTGAATATTCAACACACTTCAAGTTCATGCATTTTCGAGACCTATCAGTCAAACATTAGCTTCTCTTATTACGGAATGCTATCTACCATTTTAAAACTATTAATTGAAAATTAAAATGTATTTTTTATAAAAATATAACTTAACATTATTAATATTTTTTATCATAACTTTAATAAAAATATTTATTATTAATTGATCAATAATTTTAAGATATTTATTAATAATATTAATTAATTTTAATATTTATTATAAAAATTATTTTAAAAAAATCTCAACTAAGCATTCTCTATGTTTATATGATAATAATGCCTGTCTGTAATTGACTTATACGGTTATTGGGAATATCTTCTTTTTATCATTTTACCACGGTAAAAAGCATACGTAATACGCACGCGCGGGGTGAGGGCAGTGGGCATGGTACGAAACCTGAGTCCTAAAACGACAATGGCAGTGTCGTACCAGGAAGAACACAAACCACTGAAAGAAAGGAACGGGTTAAGATCAAAGGATGGCTACGCCCAAAAATACAATAAAGTTAGAGAGAGAAACCATCGATATATTAGAGCGAGAATACACCCAAACCGAACCGAACCGAACCGAACCCAATCCACCAGTCACTACCGCACAACACATACACTGTCACACTAGTTCGTGAATCGGTATCACTTAGCTCACTCTCACACTCAACAATAGCAATTACAAATTCCCTCTCTCACTCAATTAATTATTCTCTTTTCTTCTCTATAATTTACAATTTCTTTTGGAGCATTTTATCGAACATATTACATAAAACATTAAAATTTGAAAAAGGCGTAAAAAAAGAGAGAAAAAAAACAATTCGATGGCAGCTATTGGAGAGTGCAGGACTGTTGTTGGTTACTCTGTTCGTAGTTTCTCTTTCATTGACCAGAGATCATACACACACCTTTTCGAGTATTTCTATCATTATTATAATCGTTGTTTTTGCATCTTTCTTCTTCTTTTTCCTCGCTAATCTCTACTATACAATTGAATTAATTATAATATTAATTTATTATTATTGTTTTTGTTGTTCCCCAAATCTAACCGCACATCTCAATCACACTCACCCATCTCAGAAAAAAGGAAAAGGGGTAAAATTTGTAACGAGATAGAGATAGAGGAAGAGTTGGTGAAATGTTAGAGAGAGAAGCTCCGAATTCGCGTTTCCAGCTACCCCTTTTGGCTCTGATTCCCTTTTGTTGTTCGTATGCTTCATGGCATTTTGGTTTTTGGGTTATTTCTGAGGGGGGGTTTTAGGGGTTCTCTGGAGCTAGAGGGAGTTTGTTCTGGAAGGTTCGTTGTTTGTTATGTGTGTGTGAGCTTGATCGTTGGGTATGGAGTGTGGTTCTGAAGGAGAGAAGAAGAAGAAGGCAGTGGAGGTAGATAATAAGACCAAGCGCAAAATGAAGACGGCTTCACAGTTGGAGGTTCTGGAGAAAACCTATGCTGGTCAGTGAAAAAAATTCAGCCATTTTTTGTACACCTCTTTTCATGTGTCGTGTTGTTGATGTTCTTGTGTGCGTGTTTAATATGTTGAAATTTGAGTTTTTGTGTTATGGGGTTGTGCATTTTGAGTTCAGTTGAGGCTTACCCTTCTGAGGCTTTGAGGGCTGAGCTATCTGTGAAGCTGGGACTGTCAGATCGTCAATTGCAAATGTGGTTCTGTCACCGGAGACTGAAGGACAGGAAGGCTGTGCCAGTTGCCAAGAAGCCGCAAAATGATTCGCCGCCGGCAGGGGCGGCTTTGGCAGCGGTGAGGGAGGGCGTTGAGCAAGTAGCAGTTGCTGAAGTTAGGCATGATTGTGGTTTGGCTTCTGGAATGAGGCCATTTGGTCATCTGGATTCACGGCGAGTTGTGCCGTGGCTTGGGATGGTGGCCTTCCCTAGGATGGAAGCTGGATTGCTAGCGATGGAGACTGGCAGTTACAATGATCCTAATCAGACCATAGCGGAGCTGCGAGCTATTGCTTTTGTGGAAAGACAGTTGGGGGAGCCGTTGAGAGAGGATGGACCTGTTCTGGGAATGGAATTTGATTCCTTGCCGCCAGGTGCATTTGGTGCACCAATAGGTAAAACTGGTTTTCTAACTGCAATTAGTGTTCCTAAGTTTTGCTATGCCTTTTGTAAAGGACTTGTGTAGAAAAAGGGTGGGAAGGGCAGCGAGGCTATTTTATATGCAATAGAAAATTTTATTTGTATTGCATGCTCCTGGCTTAGTTTGATATAAATTCATTAGAGATGGGCACCTTGTTGGTAGTGTTAGATAGTTTGATGATCCAGAGGAGTTAATTTATTCTGTTTTCTTTGATAAGTTGAATTACATAAAGATTAAGTGTATATATATATATATAAATATATATATAATGCATACAGGGGCTTAAATTGTGGTTGCATAGCAATTACCAAAATTAGTTATAAAGCTTGCTAAACTCAAGAGTTTACATAAGGTCAGTAATCAATCTTGAGGTCTTGAAAGTGTTGGAAAGTGATTTTTTAAATGATGCTTAGAACATTTTTTTGTCAATTTGTGCATGAAAGAAGTATGGTTAATTAGTGTTTGTTTTTGTGTGAATTTGGTTAATTAAAGTATGATCTTTGTGGCGAATTTTGAAAGATGTAAGATAAGATTGTGTTTTGATAAGCTTTGAAAAATTCCTCTTATTATACAACTATTTTCTAGATTCCCCCCCACCCCTAAGCTACTATTTTTAGCTCCTAAGAGAAGCACTTTTTTTCTCCTAAGAGAAGCACTTTTTTTTTTAATAAAAAGAATTTTTCCTTGAAAAAGAACAACAAACAGGCCCTTAAAAAGTGATTTTGGAAAGGGTGTGCAAAACTTTTTTTTGTCAAAGTTGTGCATGAGAGATGTTTGGTCAACTTGCTTCAGTTGACATGGCTTTATGCTGTAAGTACTGCTATTGAACCCTCAGCAATGTCTTCTATTATTCCAGGGGCGGTGACAATGGGGCAGCACAGGCAATCTGGAAGGCCTTTTGAGGCAAAAATTTATGAGCAACTGGACAAGGTTGCATTTCTTTTCTTCTTTACCTCTTTCTCCCATTGCAGAGTTTTAAAGAAATCTGTTGAATAATGTAGTACTACTTTAAAATGTGTTATGTTACAACTGTAGTCTGTACTACATGTTGATTCAACATATTTTAAGGAAATATAATTTTTGTTAGCTTCCTAGTAGAACTTCTAAAAATTGATTATTTCTCCAAGTTTAAGCCATGCTACTAGTTAAATATTGTATTTATCTGTATCTCTGTCTATTTCCTTTGTTTGTTGTAAATCATAATTATATATTTTATCTAGATGAATAACAAATTTAATGTGCATTCTCTGTGTCTTGGCTAACAAGTTCATTATCTAGGGTGTTTCAAGGACTCTGCATGAATATCAATTTATTCCAGAGAAACCAACAGTTAGAAATGAGGCATATGAGAGAGTTGCCCCTTCTATCCACTATAGTTCTCTTGATGGCGTTCCACATTCTAGGACTTTATTATCCAGTGAGCGATCTTTCCTGAATGGGAATGAATCTGCTCCTTATAGGTTTGGAATTCGAGGACAGATACCTGGTGTAAATATTTTGTCTCAGCAAGGTAGGCAGAATAATCTTTTCCTACCTGCTTCAGGAGAGAATGATGGTGTTTTGCAAAAGAACCAATTTGTTGATGTAACTGCTGACATTCATAGTGGGGCTCACCTTATAACTCTGATCAACAGCCCTCTAATGCCATCTGACAAGATGGTTATCCCTGATGAGGAACTATCAAGGTTTCAAAGGAAGCGAAAGGTATCTCATTGCACAATGCCAACATGATTAATTTATACTAGAGAATGGTTGCTCACTGAATTGCCTTGCTTGCAGAATGAAGAGGCTAGAATGCAACGCGAACTTGAAGCACAAGAGAAAAAAATTAGAAAAGATCTTGAAAAACGGGATATTCTAAGGCAAAAGGTTTGAGTGAGTCTATTTTTTCCCCCTTTGATGATTGTATTTGTTCTGTGGCTAATATTATTTTTCCATACATCAAGAGAGAAGAACAAATAAAGAAAGAGATGGAGAGGCTTGAACGTGAAAGGCGGAAGGAAGAGGAAAGGTTATTGCGTGAAAGACAGCGAGAGGAGGAAAGGTACCAAAGAGAACAAAGGCGTGAACTGGAGCGGCAGGATAAGATTTTACAGAAGGAATCAATCAGAGTATGTAAGACTTTTCTGCCTATATACTGTCTGATCTGTTATGTGAAAATTAGTAAAGCTTATGTTATTTGTTTTTGCAGGCTGAGAAACTGAGACAGAGGGAAGAATCACGCAGGGAGAAAGAGGCAGCAAGGATCAAAGCTGCCAATGAGAGAGCTACTGCTCGCAGAATTGCTAAAGAATCGGTGGAACTTATTGAAGATGAACGTCTGGAACTCATGGAGTTAGCTGTAACAAAGAAGGGGCTTTCTTCAATATTGGCTCTTGACTATGAAACTATTCAAAATATTGAATTATATGGAGGTAAATAATTTAACATGCTTTATTTTTCTGTTTATTTGTAATTTTGCATTTGCTATCTCTGCTTGCTGAAGATTGTGCAGTTTTGTAACTGAAAGTGCTCAAATTAGAGTTTGTTTTATGACATTTTCATTCTGCTAATCTGCTTAGCTTCTAACGCATTTTGAAAGCAAGGAAATTAACATTTGTATACGCTGCAAATTGACTAGATACTCAGAAAAGTAGAAAGTATTCTGTTTAAGAGTTCTAGATGTTCGAGGGGGCAACTAATTCATTTTGGGTGTGTATATACCTTGATATATGTGTTAAAAAAGGGATGCCTAGTTCACAAGGGTCCATGTGGTGTCTGAGGAGGTATGTATGTAGCCTTACCCTTGTGAATAGAGGCTGTTTTCTCCACTAGAACCCTTGACCATTAGGTTGCACGGCAGCTTACTGTTTGGCCAAAGGTCACTTATTTGTATAAACAAAACTTTCCTCTGAACTTGTGTGATTTAAATTTAGCTTTTATGCAAATTGGGCCTTTTCTTTACAATTGTAGGAAGATAGCAAATCACATATTTGGATGATGAATTGAGTGGCTGAAACATCAATGACTTGGCATTTGCTTGTGGTACTTTTATAACTACTGAAAAGAATCACCACGTTTGTGCTTCCCTAAATTTAATGTATCTACCAATTTTTATTTTATTTTTTTGTAGTCTATCTTTGGAATGATTGCTGCAAATTTAAATGTTTCTAATCTGAAGTAATTGTACTTTTCTGTAGGGCATCACTTTGTAGAGGTGTTTGTTGATTGATTAACTTTTAACATTTTGTGCTATTGTTTTGCCCAAATTCATAATTTTTCTGCTTATGGTTTAGCTATGGTTTAAATTTTGAATATTCATCTAAATTCTCAAGGTAGCCATTGTTGAAAAATGCAAGTTTAGATTAGATTATTTTGTGCTCACAACGGGTTATAATCAAAATATAAGAGAGCTTTTGGGAGAAAGAGGTGATTTTTCCCTAACAGACCAAACATGAACTGGTTTTTCAGATGCACGGACATCTTTCCCACCCAAGTCTGTTCAGTTGAAAAGAATCATTTCTGTTCAACCTTGGTCAGATTCTGAAGAGAATGTAGGAAATCTTCTGATGGTAAGATTGTTTCTCCCATTTATGTGTTATTTTATTCTTTTATTTTTGGCTTTTCTGATTGGTAGATGTAATTTGTTGAGAATTTGATGTTATTACTACCCATGATGCTGCTGATTTTATTCTCTGCTTGATCTTGCCCTTTTGGTGAAAATGTATTGCAATAACCATATGACCTGCTTCACCACTATGGAATTTTTCTGGTCCACAAAATACCTGGATTGACTTCTAATTGTGCCCAGTTTTTCTTATGGAGATATTTGTTGTCACCATGACAAGCAACTAAACTGTAACAAAAATTTTAAAGCACAAAATATTTTTGTTGTTTCATCTTGTTACTATCCATGGTTATCGAATTTTCTCTCAACTGTGATGAATAGGAATGCTTTGTATTTAGGTTTGGAGGTTCTTGATTACCTTTGCTGATGCTCTTGGAATATGGCCATTTACCTTGGATGAACTTGTACAAGCTTTTCATGACCATGTAAGTATTATTTTCTTTGCCTGTTTTTGCCAGGTTATCTCTCTTTAAGGTACTATTCAAGTTCTTGTTTGTCCTAGAATTATTCCTTGAACTTGTGATTCTTGAGAGAGAGATAGGAAGAGGAGCATAATCTGATATACTGAAATCTTGTGTCCTTTCTACACCATGGACTCTATTTTTATAGTGAATATATTGGATAGCAAGATTCTCTTTTCCTGATTACTGTATTATATGATACACTGAACCTTGATACTCACAATAAACCTTGACACACTAATACATGTTTCTAACAATGCTTTGTGACCATGGATCAATATTTGCTCTAAATAATGCAGGATCCAAGGTTGTTAGGTGAGATTCATATCGCACTATTGAGGTCCATTATAAAAGATATTGAAGAAGTTGTAAGAACACCGTCTACTGGATTAGCAGCTAACCAAAACAGTGTTGCCAACTCTGGTGGGGGGCATCCACATGTAGTTGAAGGGGTGAGTTGTTTTCATTCCGTCAGATTTAAATATATTCTTTGTTCTTTCCTTCTTAACCTAAAAAGACTTATTTGGAATCTACTGCCAGGCATGTATGTGGGGTTTTGATATAAGAAGTTGGCAGCAACATTTAAATCCATTAACATGGCCAGAGATTTTGCGACAATTTGCTTTGTCAGCAGGATTTGGGCCCCAATTGAAGAAACAGAATATTGAGCAGGTGCACCCTTGCAATAATAATGAGGTAGTTCTCTCAAGGTTCTTATCACTTTTAGAAGAATGATTGATGAGATAACACATTTATTTTCTTATTTCATGTTTGTGAATTTGTGAAAGTGTTCATCATTTGTGATTTTCAATTAGGCTTGGTTGTTTTTGTTCATAATTAGTAATTATATGTGTTGCATTGAAAATAAATTTTCTGAAATTCCATAACGAAACTGTGATTTAATTTCATTTCTTTGGTTTCGTTGGGATATTTTCCCTGCCACCTTCTGGATTGCAAGTGCAGGGCAATGATGGTAGAGATATAATTTCTAATCTACGCAGTGGAGCAACTGTTGAAGATGCTGTTGCTATTATGCAAGAGAAGGGATTATCTAACCCAAGAAGATCTAGGCATTGCTTGACACCTGGAACTGTTAAATTTGCTGCATTTCATGTTCTTTCTCTTGAAGGAAGCAAAGGCCTTAATATATTGGAAGTTGCAGAAAAGATTCAGGTATATTCTTGCTGGATGTCTTCTTTATTGTCTCATGTTAATGATTAAATTTTCTTGTCCATTTATTTTTGTTTATCTAGAAATCTGGACTTCGTGATCTTACAACAAGCAAAACACCAGAGGCTTCTATAGCTGCTGCTTTGTCTAGGGATACAAAACTATTTGAAAGGACAGCTCCTTCAACATATTGTCTACGTTCTGCATATAGAAAGGACCCAGCTGATTCTGAGGCAATTTATTCCGCTGCCAGGGAAAGAATCACGATATTCAAAAGTGGATTTGTGAATGCAGAGGAAGCTGATGATGGTGAAAGGGATGCAGATTCTGAGAGTGATGTGGCAGAAGATCCTGAAATTGATGATTTAGGAACTGAAATAAATTCAAAAAAGGAGAGTTCAAATTATGAGGAATCAAATGCAAACTCTGCGATGAGATATAGAATGGACAATGGTGAGATTTTGCAAACTCGTGATGGTTACCATTGAAAAAGTGGATGATGATTTAGCTTCAATTGTTGCTGAAGACCTCTAGTTAAATTGCCATTTGCAGCAATAATGTTAATGTTAATGTAGGTTTAGATGTTGATGAAAGCATTCCAGGTGAACCATGGGTACAAGCGCTTACAGAGGGAGAGTACTCGGACCTTAGTGTAGAGGAGCGTCTTCATGCTCTTGTTGCTTTGATTGGTGTGGCAACTGAAGGAAATACAATTCGTGTTGTACTTGAGGTATATTCCTTGTTCCATACTATTATTTCTCTTCATTGTGGGTAGCTTTAAAACAACTTACATGTGTGTGTTCTGCGTTTTCTGACAAGCAATGTTTCAGGAACGTCTAGAAGCAGCAAATGCTTTAAAAAAGCAGATGTGGGCAGAAGCACAGCTTGATAAACGCCGTGTCAAAGAGGATTACTTTGTTAAGATGCTGTCTGTCTCATATTTGGGCAATAAGAATGAGTTACCTGTTGTGTTTCCCTCAGTAGAGCATAGACAGAGCCCAGTGCTTACTGTTGACAACAACAATGATAAGACTGTGCTCACTTCCAATGACCAGCATAAACAGCAGGATGAACTACGGGAAAATCAAAATCATCTTCAGAGTTCCCCGCCAGAAGTCAACATGCAGATGCAAGATTGTTCAACTGGCCCAGATAGTTATTCTTTCCAACAATCAGGATATGCTGCTGAAAAATCAAGATCAAATTTAAAGTTATACATTGGCCACTTGGCAGAGCAAACTTACACGTATAGGTCATTACCTCTTGGTTTGGATCGAAGACATAATTGTTATTGGCAATTCATCACATCTTCTCAAAATGATCCAGGTTGTGGCAGGATTTTTGTGGAGTTGCATGATGGTTGTTGGAAGCTGATTGATTCTGAAGAGGTATTACTTCTATGAGGCTGAGTTGATCTTTGTTATGACCTTGTATGATTTGCCAGTGGTCTTTATGTGCATTTTTTTAGTAACATCTTTTTGCTCCATCTTTACCCTGTCAAGCTTGATGTAGCTAAGGCAAGAGATGTCTATTACTAATGATTTTGCATGTGGAAGTCATTACATCTATTGCTTCCTGGGCGTTTATATACAAAATCTTATTCTCATAGATGCTACAAACTAGTTTTTTTTTTCCCTTATCCTTCTCTTTGTACTTGTACTTTCTTTTTATCATAGATATTCTGTTTTTTATCTGTTTTCTTCATTATGTTCATTTTACATGCAGGGTTTTGATGCTTTATTGGCTTCTTTGGATGTACGTGGGATCAGGGAGTCCCACTTGCATATGATGTTGCAAAGAATCGAGATGTCGTTCAAGGAATCTGTTAGAAGGAATGTACAAAATGTTAACATGAGAATGCAAAATGGAGATACTGTTGAGAGACTCAAGATAGAAACTGTTGAAATGGCTTCAAAACCAGATTGCAGTGATTATCATTGTCCTACTTCTGTATGCATTGATAACTTGGATGCATCAGAAATGTCAACATCTTTTGTGGTCCAGCTTGGAACAAACGAAGCTGATAACACAGATGCTTTTATGAGATATTGGGACTTTGAGAAATGGATGCAAAAGGAATGCCTAAATTCCTCAGTTTTATGTGCAATGAAGTTTGGGAAGAAGAGGTGCCGCCAACTGCTGTCCATATGTGATTTGTGCCATCATGTCTATTTCTCTAGTGGACTTCCTTGTCCTTCCTGCAGTAGAACCTTCAGTGCTTGTAAGAGCAACTTTAGTTCTTCTGAACATCTTCATTCTAAAAGCAAAGTGGAGATTGGCACTGATTGTTTTCACGTTTCATCCTTTCTTCCTTTGAGGATGAGGTTGCTCAAAATGTTCTTGTCAATTGTTGAGGTGACAACCTACTTAATTTTTCTTGACTATGATTTGTGGCGTTATTAGATAAAACTAATTCCTATTTAGATAAAGTTTCAGTTTATTGTTTGTTTCTTGTTAACTGGAGCTGATAGTGTTTGGCTATGGGTGGTAGGTAACCCTTCCCCAGGAAGCTTTGCAACCTCTTTGGACAGACAACTACAGGAAATCTTGGAGTACAAAGTTGGATGCTTTCTCATCAAATGAAGACCTTCTTCAGGTTATAATCTGGCATGTCTTGATAGATCATGCTTTGGAACTTCCAGTTTGTAGCTAATGTCTCAAGTTTAACACTTTTTGGTCTGCGGTATAGTTGCTAGGATATGTTCAAGCTCATCTTTGATCTTCCCATATTTGTTGCAGATAGAAAGACAGACTGATACTGGATTCATACCCTGTTTCAAATAGTGTGGAATTGGTAAAAGTTCAATATGGAGCTGGAAAATATTTAGATAATTTAACTAAGAAATATCTAGGGTCATTATTCTGGTTGAAAGATGTCATATGAAAATACTGGTATCAAAAGGAAGGACAATGCTGCTGCCAAACAGCATTGTGGATAATAATCTTACCTTTCAAGTCTCTGCAATTGAAATTTTAAGATATAATGTAACCGTGTTCTGTTATCATATTCGATGTTTTAAAAACTGAGCAGGGGATTGAGCTAGTGTGACCTTAGGGTCATGATTTGATGGATTCAACTGATTAGTTTTGTGCTTGAACTGGAATGTTCGAACTAGAGACATAACCGCATCTAAATCTAAACTTTTCTTTCAGCCAGCCTGTGTGGTCCAGTTGAATATATGCCTAGTTGGCTAGTTATTGTGACAGTCTAAACATTTTAAAATTAATATTGCTGCCTAGTGCTTCTTTTTCTCTACACATTTCTTACCTTGTTGCTAAACATATTAGGTTTTGTTGTTCATTGTAATTTGTATCTTGAACTTTTTATATATTTGTTTTCTCTGTTACTAATGTGTAAGATATGATTTCTTTCTCAGATATTTACTGCATTGGAAGGTGCTATAAAGAGGGATTATTTGTCTTCGAACTATGAAACAACCAGTGAGCTGTTAAGTTCAATTAAATCTCCTGGATTTCCCACTAATGATTCCATTGATGGTGAAAGGATACCTGTACTTCCATGGGTTCCATATACAACAGCTGCTGTAGCTCTAAGGCTCTTGGAACTTGATGCATGCATCTTTTACACCTCACAGCAGAAGCTGGAGTCTCAGAAGAATAAGAAAATTGGAATTGTTCTGGTGAGTATGATTCCTTTTCCTACTTTGAAAGTGAACTATAGTGAAAATGTTAAAAGAATGTGAGGAAGAAAAAACAAAAATATAAGGTTGAGGAGTTGGTACTTTGTTTAAAGTGAAAAAAGAAAGAAAAATGTTAAAGCTTTGTACACTTCTAGTCATAGTGCCACAAGCTTATTTTATAGAAACATATTTCAGATTTCTCGATTATAGTTGCTTGTAATACTATAAATAGAATTTTGAGAGAAAAAAACTTATTCGGCTGCAATTGGTTGTGGGAATCAATCTATTATTATTGCCATATGTACATTTTTGTTTTGAATTTCTCCAACTTTGTGACTTTCAGAAGCTTCCATCAAAACATGCTTCTGCCAAAAGTTCCTACAATGCTGGTGCAATTGAATCTTCACATCAGGCTGAACGTACTGCCGAAAAATGGGTTGATCTGGGTGCTGGCCTTCCACGCCACAGCAGAGGACAAAGGACCAAACAAGGCTGTGGCGGTTCTCATGATGGAAGATTGTCAAAAGGGAGGGTTGATAGTTCAAGATCTGATCATAGAAAGAGAAGGATTACCTCTGGCAGCAGGAAAATGGGGAAATTGCTAGGATGGAAAGGCAAACCTGGTGGACAAGTAGGAAATGTTCGTGGTCGTCGGAGCACTAGAAGCAGACAGAAAGCGCCAGCCAAGGTGGGTTTTATCACCCGTGAGAGGGATACCCCAGAAGATATTGTGGAAAAACCACCTGGTATATTTGTCAGAGAGGATGTGAATCAAGGGAAACTGGAATCTACTGCTCTAAATGCTAGTAGTCCAGAGAGATCAGGCTATGAAGATGATATTTATCAAGCAATAGGTGATGAGGGTGATTATTTGGTGGATAATAATGATGGATGTCAGGGTGGATTTAGTGGGAAGTCCGAGAACTTAGAAGAGAGCCACTATAATGTACATGTTGATTACGATGATGAAGATAGGCAAATGGATCTTGATGTTGAAGATTACATAATAAGGTGACTCTGATACAGGGGACAATTGCAGAACAAAACATGGATCCGGATGGAGTGGATTGCACATCATCAGACTATAGCGATCAATAGTAGCACTAGTCATGGAGAGTGACTCCACAAACGAGTCTGTAAGTTAAATGTTGATATATTTGTTTAGGAATGTAGGAATAGGGCAGTGATCATGTATTTGACGTAGGGTTTGTAGATTGCAAAGTTATGAAGGGAAGTTTTTTTCTCCTGCCATTGTATAAAATGTTGAACAGTGGGAGAAATTACACGTGTTTAAGATTGTTAAGCACTTGTGAGCTTTAAAGCAAGATCTTGCATACCCCCAAGAATTTTGGTCAGATTACTCAAAAAGGTCCATGAAGTTCCTACATCCAATATATTTTTTAAGAGACCAATTGAAAAGTCTTTTAGAAATAAGAAGAATGTCCAGGTATAGTTCTAAAATTATAAGAATTTATTTAAAATTTTCTAAAAGACACGCTCTTCTCAACCCTCTGGAGAGCCAAACAGTAAATATTTTTAGGGGTCTACATCTTCCATGATAATGAGAGACATTATTTGCAGTGATTTACAACAATTGACGCAGTAAGAGTGAGGGGTGTAGAGCTTAAAAGAGAATTTTAAAAATTAACGATTAAAATCTTAACTTCATATTTTATTTTATCTGTATGTATATTTTATCATAGTATTAACTGACGACTTTTTAATTAATAACTATCATTATAATTCATCACAAAATTATGGAATTAAATGTAATACTGAATATGCATTTGAAGCTCCTCCCGGCACACAGGTTTTAATCTGAAACATCATTTTTGGGCGTATAACTTTGATTGCATTTGTTACCTTTAAGTATATGAATATGCAAAGTTATTCACAGCAACAACAGCTTTCAATCAAATTTGACAATTTGTGATCCTAACATCGTTAAGCCCTGCCATTACATAACAAGGGAAGCTTTGCCCACCAACTAATAAACCATACAAAAGAATCTAATCAAAAAAATTTTCACAAAATCACAATACAATATACGTTGAAGCAACGAAATTTATTGGTAAATATACATGTCCCGTGGATATATGCCAAGTACTATACTATTAACATCAATCTATTTTAATCTCAGGCTTAGGCAGCCAAGAGTTTTCTGATTCCTGCTTTCTGCTCTTCATTGAGCCGAGTTGGGAACTTGATGTTGAACTTTATCCTCAAATTTCCCTTCTTTGAAGGATCCTTGGGGAGGGGCATTCCTTCTCTTGGAACAACCTCCTCATAGTTAGGATGAATAACACTGTTGATCGGTATGCTTAAGTTTCTACCATCCAAGGTAGTGAGATGCACTGTGTAACCAGTTAAGGCCTCTGCAAGAGAAATCTTCTGAGTGACAACCAGATCATTTCCATCGCGAGTGAATACACCATGCGGTTTTTCATCGATGATGAAAACAAGGTCTGCAGGTGCGACATTTGGCTGTTCATTTCCTTTCTCTGGGAAGGTGATCTTTGTTCCCTTCTTCCAACCAGGCTTGACATTAATTGTCAAGATCTCCTCCACTGGCATGGTTTTCCTGCATCCATAAGAAAGAACTCGTCAATAATTGGCTAGAGACAGATTGAAGATTAACAAGCAATTATGAAAACCAAAGAAGAAGCTCGAAGTGTAATCTGGAATGAGGATGCTCTCTCATCCTTCATGAATATAAATTTGAGAAATGAAAATTGCCAGTTCCATTCCCTTAACTCTTTTGGCTAGAGAAAAAGGTTATATTCTGAATGCAGCATAAATTAATACTCCAACATCACATATTCATTCAAATTTATTATGTATATATGCAAGAGAAGTTCGTACTTTTGGTGCTCAAAGGTGAAGGGAATATAAGTTTAGTGTACCCTTCCAAGATTTTGTTAACCACCTACTAAATTTTTCAACAAGAATCCTTAAACCCAATACTTAATTTAAAAGATATCTATGCCAACATAGGAAATGTATTGTACCAAGGAAAACTTCTAGGTTCCAAGCTGGCTACACTATACAAGTTGAGCTCTGACAGAAGGTAAAGGCCTAAAGGCTAAAAAGGGGCATTGCTCAAATCACAGAAAGAGACAACACCTATTCCAGTATAAGGATTTATACATTAATAATTTTAGCCATGTTAGCATAACATTATAATATGATTATAGAAGTAGAAGGTCTTGATCTAGTAATTTGTCAAGAACCTACTGACTTTCCAGATCAACGAACTTTCAAGTTTAAATTACATAAACCATTAATGGGGACACCAATAAGTACCAAAAATATGAAATGAATAGCAATTATACACACACTAACATAAAATCCACCATCTAATGCATACCACTCACATACCAATACCATACAACTAAGAGTATCAACCAGTAAAAAGCAGTTTTTATTCATTTACATTTAGAAGTTAAAACCTAGAAAGTCTTCTATTTGGAAAAACTCAAGACAACACAATTAAAACACTGCTTCACTTCGATTCTGAAAAATCCATCAATTAATGTCATGAACACAAAGATAAAGAGAGGGTGTACAAAGTTACAAACTTTACAGGGTAGAAAGGATAAACTGCAGGATGTTTCAAAGAACAAAGTATCTGATATTCATTCAACTAACAAAGATGCAGATAGCCCAAATAACAAGAAAACGATTTATGCATTAACCATTATGTAAACTAAGACATAATCAAAGATCAAACATTGCACACACAACAGAAGATGAGATAGATGTACTGAAAAGTCAAGGAAACCAAGCACTAGGTAAAATAGCACCCACAAAGGACAGCCAATTGGCAAGCATTAGTTCTCAAGCGAAAATTTTCAGGCCAAGCACTCAATATATAATTATAAACAGAGTGAAAATAGCAGACCGCAGTTATGTTTAGGATCAATTAATTTTTCCTTCGTGGATACCCATGCTTTTATTTACTACCAAATTGAAAGTTCAATAATGTTAGTCATGCACAAAAATTAGAGATCATATCACACACAAACCAAAAACTAAGAAAGCTATAAGATTCCTAAATATAGGAGAAGAAATAATAGCCGGGTATCAACATCTACTCACCCAGAGACATCAGCAATTTCTCTAGAGATCTTCATCTTCTTTGTAGTCCCTTTGTATATCTCCTCAAGTGTGCAGGGCAACTTGTTCTCTATAGGAGGAGCTTTCCGAGGTGCACCTTGACTCATATGTACTCCTCCTCCTCCTTCCCCAAAAGATGCAAACATGTCATCACCAAACATTCCACCAGAGAACCTTGATCTCATGCCTCCGCCGCCACCTCTTCCACCCATGCCACCAAATGGGCTTGAAAACCCAAAAAATTCTGCAAAAATGTCATCAGCATTCCTGGGATTGAATCGAAAAGATCCTGGCATGTCTCCTGTGGAAAAGAAAGTAGTTCCAGCACCACCAGCATCAGGAGGAGGAACCTGACCCTTGAGACCTTCTTCTCCATATTGATCATAGACAGTTCTCTTCTGAGGATCACTAAGTACCTTCAATTATCACAACATAAACAAAGTAAGCACCACCTCAGACAAAATTCCTTATTGGATTTCACTGTTCCACTCGTAATTTTAAGAGAGCTCAAAATGGTGCAGTATCCTTATGGAAAACATTAGAATCACAGCAGAAGAGTTTAACTATTTCACTCCTAATTTCACAAAAGTAGCTAAAAATTTGCAATACCCTCATTAAAAGACATTAGGATCACAATAGAAGAAAGAGAAGTAAGCATCACCCAGATGAAATATTTTAATCGAATTTCACTATTTAACTCCTAATCTCTCTCTCTCTCTCTCTCTCTCTCACACACACACACACACACACACACACACAAAAAAAAGCTCAAAAATTGCAATACCCTCACTGAAACGGATCACAATAGAAGAAAGAAAAGTAAGCATCACCCAGATGAAATATTTTGTTGACTTTCATTGTTTAACCCCTAATTTCAGAAAAAGCTAAAAAATTTGCAATAGCCTTGGGGTAAAGCATTACGATCACAGTAGAAGACAGAGAAGTAAGCATCACCCAGACGAAATATTTAATCGAGTTTCACTATTCCAATCCTAATTTCAGAAAAAAGCTAATAAATTTGCAATACCCTATTGAAGAACATACCTCATAGGCTTCTGAAATTTGCTTAAACTTAGCTTCAGCTTCTTTTTTGTTGTTTGGGTTCTTATCAGGGTGCCATTTCATGGCAAGTTTCCTATAAGCCTTCTTCAAGTCATCGTCTTTGGCATTCTTATCCACCTGCAAGATCTTGTAGTAATCTACACCCATCCTTGGTGATGCTTTTTCTTCTACTCTCTTTCTCTTCTTCAGTTTCGCTGTTCTTCTACTCCTGTTATGCTATGTTATGTTCCTGTTTCACAGTTCAAAGAGCTTGTGCTCAGAATTTGAGGTTGATGTGGTGATGCCTTCCAAGTATGCTTTAAATCATACAAGTCAGTGTTCTATGGCGTGGCATCTTGATCTTTGTGGAAGGTTCCAGAAATCCACGTACTTGCGCTTCATTTTCTATTTCTAGCCTCTTTTACAAACGAACAATTTTACCCAAAATGTCCATAACTGAATTTAAACGGTTAATAAATTTAAAAACTATTTAATATGTGTTTATATCTTTAATATAATAAATTTGTTATTAAAAGTGAGTTTAAATAAGTAATTAAGTAGTTAAGGTAAGATGAAGATAATTAGATTCGATTAATTTTTTAATAAAAATTCTTCAAATTTGATTAGTTTGGATTTGTCTTAGATTGATAAAATTTTAAAAAGTAAAAACATTTTTAATCAATAAATATAATTTAATGTAATTTTAATTCTTCATTTTTTATAAATTGAAAAAATATTCTATATCAGCATTTAATGATTTTATATATATATATATATATGGATGTATGTATGTATGTGTGTGTGTTTTATTTAGAGAGAGAGAGAAATATGTATCCTCTCTTTTTCTTTTTTATTGATTAAACAAAATAAATATTATTCTTAAATATTATATGAAAACAATTGTTCTGAATAAAAGATCCAATAAGAGAGTTAGAAAATAATTGTTCTAAGCAAAAAGAAGCAGAGAATGGCTTGAGCTGCTGTAAGAACAACAAACGAATATGCTACTCCGAAGAGAAAAGAAAAAAGTTGACCAAAAAAAAAAAAAACTTCCTCAATATCTAATGAGATAAAAAGGATTTCTAAATGCTTTAGGCCAAGATAGTTTTATAAAAAGACATAAGGAGGTAGTCAATAATGGAAACAAATTTCTTGTATAGAAATGCATAAATTGGTTTGAAAAGAGAATTTTTATAACACGATATTGCTGCATGTGTCTAATGGTTACCCTCACTATGAGGAACAAAGAACGAAACTCTAACATCTACAAGAATTCTCAAACTATAAATGAACAACCCAAAGATTTGAAGGAGTAATTCGATATAAACATGATAAAAGCTAGTCCAATCTTGCTTGAATTTAGTCAAGTTAATTATTTTTGTGTTGATTTTGTTTAAAAAAACTACGAACTCAATTTATTTAGATAAAGTTTATCCAATCTGACCCATGATCCCTCTTAGCTACCATCAACAAGTGATTGTTAATATTTTAGCACTGTTAGTATAAACAGCTTCTACAATTCTCCATAAAATCATCAGAACACCCATGATTATGACTTGACAGAGTATGTTTATACTTGTAGTTTAATTCTATATATTAGAAATTATTCCTAAATTCATAATTATAAATTAGTCTTCACTACCATTACCATAAAATTGTAAACTACCCAAAAAAATTTGTTTGATTAGTTATTTAATTTTAGTCCAACAAAATTAATATAATGAAAACATCAAATTCAAATTGAGTTTATTTAAATAGATTTAATTCATTATAAATGTGTAAATTAACTAATACAAATTTATTTTTAACTTAATTAATAATTTGAATTTATATTTTGGACATATGCAATTGCACTGAATAATCTAAAAAAATTTAACTAAAAATTTTCCTTAAGTCATTATAAAGACTTAAAATATTGAGCAATGCTAATAACATACTCTTTTTAATATATTTAAATTTATGAAAAATAATAAAATTATTTAAATTTCACTCTTAACGTTTCTTTTACATTTTTTTTAGTTTTTAATAAACTTTACTTAACAATAAAAATATATTAGATATCGTGTTGTTATCATTCTTATTTCAAACATTTACCTTCCACAAAATTGTGTTTATTTTTCCACCGAAGATTGTTCCCTTTATTTTTATTGCACTTTACAATAAGAAGACTAGTTTCAATGAGTTACCTCAACCGTTGTTTTAAATATATTTCGAAACCTTAAAAGGGATGTATCAAAACAAGACATCCATTGTAAGTTACTTAAAATAAAGAGAAAATTAATTAAAAATAAGTAGAAATAAAAATTTCATGATATATTTGAAAGAAAAAGCACACACGTGTAAATGTGTTTAATTCGCAAACTCTTAATAGAACAGTATAAATATTTTTTTTTTTTGTCCTCAATATATGTTATTTTTTTTTGTTCGTATAGCTCATTACACTTTGACCAAAAAGTACATACCACAATTTGGTTTCTTGAAGGAAGTTTCATCAATGGTCAATAACATTTGCTAAATTAATCGACCAATCTCATAATTACGGTATGGAAGCTGTTATTAAGGGTAAATTTACAAGAAATATTAAAAATACAAAAAACTATATTTATAAGACTTATTTTCGTAAGTTTAATTAAAAAAAATTCTATTTCAATGTTTATATTAAAAGATCAACCTAAATAAACTATACAGTTCAAAATTACCTCATAGTTCAACGTTTTGCATCTGTTAGAAGTTTTCTGTGATCTGTATTATCGATTATATTGATTATCTCCAAAATAACTGAGAGGTAAGAACTGTATTTCACAAGATTAAATGGTATGATTGTTTTTATGTTTGTATCCTTTTTAATTCTTTAAGTATCCAATTTAAAAGAATAAGAATATGCTTGTTTCTATTTTCAAAAAGAGTTTTAAAAAATAAAAAAATAAGTATATTTTTTAAAAAATTCGTTTTAAAATTAGAAATAAACATGCTTTAAGATTTTTTTAAGTTTATAAAAATTTCACTTTTAATACAAAAGTACCCTAAATTTCATTTCATGATAAGTGTGATACATTTTTTTTTTTTGCATACTAAAAAATCAAAATGAATTAATTTATCTTGAAATTTAATAAACTAATTACGAGTATAGTTAGATCGCAAATAAATTTAGGGTCACGAATAGCACTTTTTTCTACTTATTATAGATATAAAAAAAAGGAAAAATTTTCATTCAAACATAGTATCAGTGTATTTTTACCATAATTTTAATAAAAAAATATATATTTATTCATTTCTTAACTAATAAAAGAAAGAACCAAATATAACAAGACAATTAGCTTATGAAAATAGAATTCAATTAAGCTGAATCATAGATTAGGCTAGTCCCTGGAAAAGCGAAGAAGTAGTACAAACGAGTGAAACTAATTACTAAAAAAATGGAGGGGGTTACAAATATTTACCCTCTAACAAGGAATCTTGCGAATGAACCATTTAAGAACTCCAATTGGAAGCTTTACAAGACTCACACCCACATTGCCCAATTCTGCGCACCATATGCAACATGGACACAAGCAACTTAATGTTGACCTACGTTTTCATCACCACCATTCTTATTCAGAAAATAGAAAAAAAAATATTTATTGAATGAAATATTCTATAATTTAACTTTTTTTTAAAACCAAAAAAAGTGTAAAATAAAAAAGTAAAAATTTATAAAATTAATTATATTTACAAAATATTTCAATAATTAAGGTGAGTATAGTCGAAATAAATTATTTTTAATAACCAATGAGCAAAAGGTGTGCGAAATTGGATTGATAAATTTACTGAAGATAACAAAGCAAAATAAAGAATGGAAAACGGAACTTAAAATAAGAACACTTTTGCATAGAAATTTGAGGAGAAGTTGGAAAATGTTGCATACCCAAAAAGCCAGATAAATGCACCGACGAGACAGAGAAGCAATGAGGCGAGAGAGAAGGGTAATCCAATCAAGAATCCCAATGGCCGGCATTCGCAAAATTCGTCTTCCATGTTAGTTCTCTCCCTCGTAGTGTTTGTCATATTGTACTCTGTTGTATACTCGATCTGCGATCTAAATCTGAAAAGAAGAAGAAGAAGAAGAACGAAGTTTAAGTGCAATTCGTTTCTATCAGGGTCTTGATTTCGATGTAATTTTCATTGGAAAACCCACCGTGACGAGAACACCAATGACTTTTTTTATAACGTTGACTTCAGATTTTTTTTAAAAAGGCAGGGTATCATATGGATAGATGAATAATTTTCAATCGAATTTTAGTGAATCAGTGAGAGATAAATTGTTAATCCATTTTAATGTGCTAAAATTGTGTTTAGATTTAAAATACTCGTGACTTATTAATATAAATTCCTTCAGCTGATTTGTTTTTTAGTTTTGGATAAATATCAAATACATTAATTTGAAATATATGATTTTTACAAAAATATTGTTACCAAATAAAGTTTAGTATTTATACACGTGCAATGTCATAAAATATAGGACTCACTCTTTAAATATTTACACCTTAGTTAATAGATTTTTAACTACTTAACTTTAAGTAATTTAAATGCTTTTATTTAATAATAAATGGTGATCCAATTCAATCAATAACTTAATTGTTGCTAATTTTAAATGTTATTTTAAATGATAATTAATTTGTTGTATGACAAGAATCAAATATAGGTTTTAGGAATTTGTATTTATTATATATATTTTTATAAATACTTTATTGATATAAAAATCCTTATCCTTCACTTAAGAAATGAAGGATAATTAAATTTGGGCAAGGCACGATGATAGGTTTTGTGGCAAACATGTAATGATAAGTCATTACAGAGCAAGTGTTTGTCAGTTCACTTATTTTACTTTTCGGTTCGCAAGCAGTTTTCAGTTCAAGATTGGTATTAATCAAAACCAGGATTGTTTTCCTCTTTCGAAGTACGTGTGGGCCAACGGGCCCAATTATCCATGGAACATTTTATGTCATTGTCTGGTGGCCCACAAATTAACAAGGATCTGGGCTACAATAACGCTGTTCTTGTATACACAGATTAATACGGATACATATATACATGCAAACAAAGTTTTCAGAATACGAATCCAATATCGAAACAAAATACTTGTCACCACAAAACCGCTATGCCCATTCATGAAAGACAAAATGTTCTTCTCCACATATACCTACGGAGATTATTATAACGCCACACTTTTTTAAAATGTCATTTCAATATATCATAACCATTGTGCTGTATTTGTTATACCAATATTTTAGATTCAATTAGGTTAGGTAGGACCCGTTTTTAATAATAACCCACAATTGAAATAGTACACATTACGAACATTATTAAATATATGTTTGATAAAATATTTAATAAAAAAAAACTTCATTTAATAAACTTGTATTGAGTTATGACTTACGAGGATATGATATCCCGGTTGAATTATTGAGCTTGGGTGGGTCTATATCAGGACTAGGGTTTTGGATTTGATTTAGTGGATGACAAAGTCTGGGCTTGGGGGGGCCTTTTGCCTTTGAGAATGACATCCATTTTTGTGATAGAGAAATTTAGATTCCTGTTTACAAGTAAAATCACTCCCAACAATAATTGTTACTCTTTCTAAAAGAGATACATTTTTTAAATACACGTTCACGGTTATTGTCAGGACCATCAAATTGAGACTTTTCTGTCATTTTTCATGTACTAGTAACAAACTATGCCATTTTCCTCAAACAAAAATCAATGCTCTCTCTCCACCATGGTCCCTCCATTCACATGGATTGAATTTCAGTTCAACTTGAAAGACCCCTTACCTACTTACGAATTCAATTCAGATGCATATAATCATACAATTATTATTCTCCACTTTTTCATACCCCTTATTAGTTATTTTAAACTTTTAAAACAGATAAAAATGATTTGTAAAATTAAATTATGGATATTATAAAACATATTTATTAATATCACATTATTTGAACAAACCTTTTAATATGCTTTTGATTAGTTTTTCCTTAAATAAAATCAAGCATTTGTTTAATACATTGATTAATAATTGTGTTAATACTTGGTCCTTTCATTCCTGAGCTTAAATAAAATTATTCTGATCACTTGACACATAAAAATACACGTGGGATGTGTTGAATTAACGAAAAGCTTATCATCTGTGAGAGAAATTATTTTCAAACAACACATTAAACTCCTCAAGCAATTTCAATCCATCAAAATACCATATCCATTATGTCTTAGTTGTAAACATGCATGGTCATAAAGTGTCATAACTGGGAGTTTAAGATTATGTAGCCTATACTCAGATCTCTGAATTAACTCGCATTAGTTAACATGAAAATAACAAACTGCTGATAGTTTAATAAATGATAATATGATTGGTGAAGTTAGGTATATGAGTCTAAACATGTGAGCAGTCTATATAACTCACGATCTATATGGGTCAAAATCAATAAAAACATATAACATTTTAATGTAATTTTTTTTTGGGTGTAATATATTTAAACTGTGAGCTAAATGGACTTATAGGCTTGTAGGTTAACTGGCGCTAGGCCATTTTTTATAAATATACATATAATTTGCTATGTTTTATTTACTTTCACTGATTTTTGTTTTCATATTTTGTTTCTTCATTTTCAAAACAATACATTTTATTAATTAAACGAGTCAGTCCACTAACTCTCAAGTTAAGGTGTGTCATCCACAAGTAAGTGATCTCACCTCGAATCAAATTGACTCAAACTCAGTCGATCGTTAGGTAAAAAGAAATAGATCTTTTTTCCTTTTAACTCGTATTATATACAGTTTTGCAATTTTATTTATGCTGGAGTACGTATTTGGTTGATGAAGTAATTCCAACACAATTAAAATGCGTATTTTATAATGTATCATATCCGCGAGAGCTACTGGGATTTAAGTGGAAGTTCAATACTACATATTAAATTGAGCCAATTCTCGTTGACCAATCATGGAGTTTATACATTGCATGTAGAAATGATGCAGCAAATCTAATGAAACAGACAGAAGAGCTGAAAGAATATCTTGAACACAAAAAACGGACTCTTGTGAATTAGATCTTCAGAGGCAGCAGAAGCATTTGGATCCATAAGCTAAGTTGGCCTTAGGGAATGACACGATAACATCTTGTTGAAGAATATCTGGGATCAGACACAGTCATTGGTTTGTCTCGACATATACAGTATATATTGTTTTATAAAGTATTATTGTCATCATTTGATGACATTTGTATATCACTAGTGCAAAGGGTGCAGTTTTGGTTCCAAAGTAAAATTAATCAAATTGAAACAAATAAGACAAATAACAAAAGTAAAGTAGTGATTTGGTTATATGCATTAAGGAAAAATCTGGTTGATTTGTTCCCTGTATACATGCCCCATTCAAGAAAAGAAAATCATGAAAACAAACAAGTAGTGAATAGTGAATACCCATTACAAAGTCGACAAATGTAAGAAAACGCACTTTTTTAAAAATATTTTAATTAATTACTTATTTTAAAAAATATAATTCTTATTTTTTAAATTAACTGAAAAATATTTTAAATTATTTTAAATTAATTAATCACAATCAATATATATTAGTATAAACTTGTTGGGCTGAGAGCATGGTGACCAAACTGCCACTGAATAAGACAATACCACCTTGCGATGTGTGGCTATTATAGTTATAACCTCTTGCATACCGTACACGTGGTGGTATATATCACTGAACTTCATCAAGTTATAAATGCTTTATTTGGACCAGGAATAAAATTTTAAAAAATGTAAATAAAAAAATAGAGCAGGTATCTGCTTGGTTTATTTGTGATATTTAAATTTAATTTAACGTATTGTATATGTTTTTAAATAAAATTTATAATTAAAGTTAATGTAGATATTTTTATTTTAAATATATTTTTAGTAATTTAAAATATTTTTGTTAATATATTTCAAATTAGAAATATAATTCATTCAAACAAATGTACATATGAAAAGATAAAATGGAAGCTATGCGTATTACAAATTAAACAATTTAATTCCTCTGAAATAAAAGTGTGTATTTTAAAAGATAAAAATAATTATTAATTATGAAAAATATTAATTAAGACTATAGTAAAATTTATAAAGTTATTAAATTTTAATTGTTAAAATTTTTAATTAAAAATTATAATTATATTTTATTTTTTAAAATATATTCTCTTTATTTAAAAATAAATAAATTATATAGCGGTGAGTAACTACTAACTAGCACCGTGTAAAAAAAAAAAACTTAAAAGCTCACAAGACAATGCAGAAATGAGGAAACACTCATTGAAAACGGTGTGCGAAGGCTGAAAACCGACATTTTTTTTTTGTTTTTTTCACAAGAACTGTTAGTAATAACTTGAGATTAATAATGCTTACAAAGACACTAATGTTTCGAAAAAGTTTAGGAAGTATGAAGAGTTTTGCTGCCAAATATTCGAACGTTGTTGGCTCAATTCTACTGATTACCTTTACAACTTTGGACAAGTTATGACGTGTTTGCATTTTTCTTTTTAAATTATGATTTAGATAAAAGTTATGTCAATAGCGGTTTGTCTAAATCATAATTTGTGGCTTTTTAATTAAAAATCAATCATGTGCCTAACTGTAGAGACTCTTATACTTTCTTATGGACTAATTATTTAAAAAACAAATCAAACTTTTAAAAATAAAGAAATATAACTAGTTTTGTATTATTTTTTAACTTTAATAAATAAATAAAAACATAATATATTGATCTTTGACCAATGGAGAACTCGAGTGCTTCAAACTCTCAGCAGCATAACACGTAAGGAAATGGCAATCTCATGATGAAAAAATCACATGAAATTTCTGGTGAAAGTCTAAAACGGAACCTCATAATAATATTAAGTGCATGCAAGCCAAATGGCCAAAAGACTCTTTATTTTTTCGAAAAATAAAAGAAGAAAGAAACTGCTAACCTATATTTTTTTTTACGTATTTAGGAAATGAATAGAATGAATTAATGTAATAACAGTAATGATATATGAAGGTTTAATATGGATAAATTTTTTAATAAAAAGAAATACAGAATTTAAGTTATAAAATAAATTAATCAAATACTTTTCATAAATTGAAATTGAATTTGTATTTTTATATTATTTTAAAAAAATTTCAATTTAATTTTTCTAAAACTTAAAAAATAAATGTTAATTATTAATTTATGAAAAAATTATTGTTATTTGTACTTACTTTTATATGAATATTCATATAAAAAAATATCTAAATTCAGATAAGAAGATTTTTAAAAAAATATTTTCATATAATTAAATTTATTTATTTCTTATTTCTTATTCAATTTATTTATATATGAAAACTTAAATTTAATATCTTGTTTAAGCGATATTAAATTTCTTGTTACTCGAATCAATCTTTATTAATCATATAATTAAATTTTAGCTACTTATTTTTTTTACATAAAATATTTTTTGTATGAAATTCGTATAAAATGTTTTAATTTTAGTTGTAAATGAGAATTTAGTTTAGGCGCTACATATATGCATTTTTAAGACAAAATTATTGCACTTTTGAACTTTTAGGGGGCAAATATTTGAAGTTGTTGGATTCAGGAGCTGGCAAATATCTTATCCGGACCCTCAAACCCATCACAGGGGTTTATATTGAAATTATGGCCCAGCTACATAAAAAGACAAACTTTTTTAATTGTGAAGCAAACAACATGATGACGTGTACATTCATACCAGAAGTTTTAGTAGAATAAGATAAATTTACTATACTATTGTTAAGGGTTAAGAGTATTAATAAAAATACAAATCTAATTCAACATTTTTTTTATCAACACAAAATATTTATTAAGGAGCACTATAAGTACTCAAAGATAAAATATCAGTTAAATTTGAAGGTGCGTACCGTGGCCACAATTAAACTTTAAAATGTAATGCTTATAATTTTAGTCTTATCAAGGAGGATACAATGTCTTTGACTGAAGATGATAAATTCATTAAGATACACGCAAGATGATTTAAACACTGCCAAATTATGTGCACCTAAAAAAAAACACCGTAATAAATTATCAGATGAATCTACAATGTTCTTTTGCTCAATAATTATTTCGATCCTGTATAATTACAACAAATGTGTCTAGGGATTAAATATACACATACATTTATTTTCTCCATCATTATTAGCAAACGTGTCTATAAAAATTAACATTGAAATTCTTTTCTTGGACTAACTATTCTTAATAATTTATTTCTTAAAAAATAATTTTATAATTATCAATAAATGCAGTGTATGACAAAAAAAAAGATGGAAAAATACATTTGTTAAATATTTATTCGATATTGTAAAACCACACAAAATTTAGAACAAAAAAATTATTAAAGAATAGTTGTAGAATGAAGAAAATATTCAAGTGGAAAAAAGTTTAGACAAAGCTTTTTGTATCCATCTATATTAGTTGTTTATAATTATTGCGTTATAGTCTTAAATTTAATCCAATATTTAATAAAATCATTGTTGATGCAATGACTTCGAGTAATGTTGAGAAACTGAGAGAATCATAAAGTTTATTAACAAAATTGAGAAGCGTGTAACGTTAGTTCACAATGTGTCTTATAATACGAGAAAAATTAATTAATAGTACATTAAAAAAATTAACTGATTACTAACCTCTGTTTAATAGTGGTTAACCTCCCAAATAACTATAACTTCGAAACCAACTGCTAATTCTTCTAATCTATGGTTTGTGATGGATAAAGTGAATAAAATTCAAATATTCAATAAGAAAGTTACATTGGCCAAAAACAATGTACCATGTGAGATCAATCAGTTTCAAATATGGAATAATCAACGATTTTACTGAAATTTTATCCAATCAATATGCTTATTTACTTGACAAGAACGAATAATATCGTTGGCAATGACTAAGAATTTTTACTGAAATTGAATAAGTATTATGAAATTTAATATACATTATAATGATTTTTAAAATTGATAAATTTTATAATTTCAAAGACAGCTATTTTAATTAATATTAATAATATTATATTATATGAAATTAAAAAACAAAATACAATTTAAATAAAATATTTAAATTAAAATTAAATTAAACAAATAAATATTTAATGTTTCGTGACATAATAAAGAAAACGAATATCATTTAAAATACTCGTATTTAAATACTCTTAAAAATAATCTCATTTAAGAATTAAAATTCATAAATTATATACTATCATTTAAGAAAATTAATCTTTAAAAATTTTATTTTAATGATCATAAAGTTATATTTATTTCAATATAATAAGTTTTTAATGATTATTATAAACAATAAAACTCTATAAATATACAATTACACCTACTAAATTTTGAATTTAAACTGAAATAACTTTTATTAGTTAACTCAAGTATTTAATATATATATATATATATATATATATATATATATATATATATATATATATATAAAACCTTTGCTAACATGATAATACATTCGTTTATGCAACACATCAATAAATGAAAACCAACAAAAAAAAAACATATCAAAATATTAAGAAATTATATAAACATTTTAGAATATAATAAAACTTTATTTTGAGAATTAATTTTTAGACAAAAATAATAATATTTTAAAATATATTAAAAATTTATTTGAAAGTTGATTTTAAAAAAATGGAAGAAAATGAAAAAACTTAAGTGCTGTTTATTTATATTTAAAAGTTTTTAAATGAAAGAAAAATAATTTATAAATTTTAAAAAAAATGTAATCTCATATCTTTAAGCTATTTCAATTTAAAAAGTTTTATATTAAAATATATTTTTCTTTTATTCTCCTCTTTTATCTTTCAAACTATTTCATTCTTCTTCCTCTGAACTCCAAGTTTAAAGTATATTATTGATACAAGTTGCTCCTTGTATATCTTTCCTTGCAAATGGCAATTTTTTCTTGTAATACAGCGCAATTTTGGGTTATATCGTATAATATTTTTCCATTCTTACGAGTAAGATTAGTCCTACCAAGGCTCTCCGTTTCTAAGTCCTTAATATTACTTATATATCACTCCAGCAATCACCGTTAGTGTATAGTGTAAACGATTATTAGTTTGGTTTTTCTTGAAACGACAAAGAAAATTTTTATCTATACTAAATTTAATCTAATGTATTGATAGTAGAAAAAAACATTATTATTCGATTATGAATCATTATATAATTACAATTTTTTTAAAATTCTATTTAATTTATTTATAGTATAAGTTTTTTTAGGCCAATAATATATAAAAATTAAATTCACATGTGTATACCAAAAAATTTTAGAAAAATGTTCAATTGATGAAATTTTTACGAAGGCACCCCCAAAGTTACATTTGATATTAATGAAGGGAAAGCGACTAAGCTTTGGAGCTAAAAGAAGACAAATTTGTCCACCGTAAGATGAGCAATTTGGCTCTTTCATGACAAAATCAGTATGTACGACTTCTATTTTCCATGTTTATTATTTTATTTTTTCTCCAATAAATTGATTCAATTTTTTAAAATATTTATACTTATATAACAAAATACTTGATTCACTTAAACCAGCTAAATACTGTAGCACATATCATAAGTTTTCAAACAATTGTAATCCATGAGTTGTACGTACCAATGCTACAGTTTATTCGAAAAGATACAACCTAGCTTAATCGGTATGATTTCTTCTTGTTAAAACCAAATCCTAATGTAAATAATTTAATTAAATATATTAATTAAAATAAATTAATTTTTATTTTTCTACATGTTAAAAGAACTTTTAAAAACAAGAACAATTATAAAATATTTTTATAAGTTTGAAATAAACTTTATATAATGCTCTTTGGAATGTTTTCCAAGTGGTTCATAATGTGTAAGTAAAACGTGTCTGGTTGATAAGATAAGAAACCTTATAATCAGCAGTTTCTTGAAGTTGAGGTTTTCAATTATGTGATTATCATCGAATAATGATAAATTTATGTGTGTGTTATCTTTAAGGGCGAAAAATACAGCGGTCAATTTTTGCACCGGCAAACACTAACACACCAAACATCTATTTCTTTCACTGTAGAGTATCAGTATCAGACATACTTGATGACCTGATCTTGATGACACCCCTCTATATTTCTCTCTCTTCATTTAGGAAAAACAAAACAAAACAATAATAATATAAATATATAAAATAATATTATGCATCTAATTTAATTAAATAAAAAGAAAATATCACAATAATAATTATGTATATAAGTTTTTCGCAGTTTATATATTTATAAATACATAATCTAATTATTAATTATTTATTCATGTTTTCAATAACATATTTTGCATTAAAACACATTAATAAATAAAATATTAACTAATTTTCAAACGATACACTTTTTTAAAAACTTAATTTCTTTTACAAAACATTAAAATTAATGATTCAATTAGTACTAAAAATATCATTTTATTAAGTTTAATAGTTAATGTCATATAGTATTATATATATTATAAATAAATAAAAATCATCCTTCAAAATTATTCAAACAAGCAAATTTTGAATGCACATTTATTAAATGAGTGTAAAAAGGGGAGGGGGGGGGTGTTAAAAAGAGATAAACAAAAAGAAAAGAATAGAGAAGATAGGAAATATGATGGATGAAATGATTGAGAAGAAAAATAATAAAAAATAAGTATAAATATATAATAGTTGTTTTTTTTTTAAATTTAAAAGAATTAAACTTGACGATTCAAAAAAGGGCATCCACAAACCAGAATAATGCAAAGGATGCAGAGCAACAGTGCACACTCCCAAACGAAAAACATAAATACAAAATCTCTTTCAAAACTCGACGAAACCAAAGTTGTGGCTGAGATCCACTCTCTTTCTTCTCAGCACTTCCAAAAAAGGGAACGTACCAAACACACACCCCATTATATCACCACGCGTCCTTCTCCCTCTCTAAGCCAATTAATTAACCCCACTCCTTCACATTCAACTGATTCAAACCCAATTTCTCACTACCCCTTCTCTCACATATCATTGCCACCCCTTTAATTAATCTTCTGAATCTTCATGCACGCGTGAGCCAGCTAGCACTGTTTTAGAAAGCAAAATTATTCTCATTCTTCCATATACCTTTCCCATAACGTAGAGTTTCCAATAATTCATTAATTATTGTTATTCCCAGTTTGAGCACTCACTCTTTCACATACGTAGTGTGTGTGAATTTGGAATTGATGCTCGCGGTGTCACCTTTTAGGAGCACCAAAGATGAAAAAATCCAAGGAGCGATGGAGGGTTTTGCCATGGCAACCACAACCTCAACAAATGATGTTGACTTTGGTGAACTCTCTGAAGGGAACTTATTGGAGAGCATTGATTTTGATGACCTCTTTGTCGGCATCAACGTCGACGGCGATGTCTTGCCGGATTTGGAAATGTTCGGTGAGTTCTCCGTCAGCGCCGCGGAGGAATCGGAGATGAACGACTCGGTGGAGAACAAGGTTGAGAATAATGATACTCAGAATATTGATATTACTACTTCTTCCAAGAAAGAAGATGAAGATAAAACCTCTTGTTGTGCTGCTTCGGGTCAAGACTTGGGGTCAAACCAAGGAGAAGAGATTGTGAGTAAGAGAGATGAATCTGTGGTGGTGAATTCGTCTTTGAAGGAAGGTGGAAAAGGAAGAAAATCTTCATCAGCTCAATCGAAGAATAATAGTAGTAATAATAATAATAATCCTCAAGGGAAGAGAAAAGTCAAGGTATATATAACTTAGATAGTTTAAAGTATATCACTCAAATTCACTTATCTTGTTGCTAGCATTAGTTTCATGCTAGTCATGTGCAAACTGAGATAATTGTTAAGGTTCTGTCACTGTCTCCCTTATGGATCTTGACAAAGTTTGAGAGTCAAAAACTCACGGGTATGTGTAACCGAAGCTGTAGAGAGAGGAGATATTGAGATTGAGGGAAGTGGCAAGAGATTAGTGTTAATTTTAGAAGATTTAGATTGTTAAATTTTTTGCAGGATTTTGGTTTGGAGTAGTGATGCGGTGTATGAATATATATGTGTATGTATATGCACAAATATGTATATATATATATAATTTTTTTTTCCTGGGTTGTGTGTAGGTGGATTGGACCCCAGAATTGCATAGGCGATTTGTGCAAGCTGTGGAACAGCTAGGAGTGGATAAGGCAGTGCCTTCAAGGATTTTGGAGATTATGGGAATTGATTGTCTCACTCGCCATAACATTGCTAGCCACCTTCAAGTACGTTCTCCAACTTGTTATTATTACTCCCTTTGTGCTAATTTCAATCTTTGTATGAATTTCAAGCACCAAGACTCGGAAATTCTAAAAAGAAAAGAGAAAATATATAACATTAAGCTTAGTAATTGTTGATTTAAGCCAGGTAGTTTGTTTGATTCAGTTATATCAAAACACTTAATAATATGAGTATAAATTAAACTTTTCCTTTAACGATATTAATTGTAGCTTCTAATTTTTAATGTATTTTTGAACACGCGCTAATTATTACTTCTGTTTATGGAAAGTCAGTAGAATTTTGAACTTATATTATATGCATGTTGGCCAAAATTGTCCAGGTAAGTGTGCCTGGATTTTATGTTTGTCAGAGGTTAGAAACTCAGATTCAAACGAAAAATAATTCAAAACCAGCATATAAAATAAAGTGAAAAATTATGGGGGACTAGAGTTGTGAAACATGTAGGTTTTAATTTGAATGCAGAAATATAGATCCCATAGAAAGCATTTGCTAGCGCGTGAAGCTGAAGCAGCGAGTTGGAGTCAAAGAAGGCAAATGTATGGGGGAGGAGGGAAGAGAGAGGTAAGTCCCTGGCCAGCACCCATCATGGGGTTCCCTCCCATCAACCCAATGCACCATTTTAGACATCTACATGTATGGGGGCATCCATCCATGGACCAGTCCTTCATGCACATGTGGCCTAAACATCTACCACAGCATTCGCCGCCACCTCCGCCGCCACACTCTTGGGCACCGACGGCAGCTCCACCAGCACCTCAAGATCCTTCCTTTTGGCACGCTCAGCACCAAGGGGTTAATTCTCCAAACTCAAACCCTTGATTCTTTATAGATATTTTGATGAGACTCTAGCTTGGTGCACAAACGGCAATAATTGACACTTAAGACTTCGGATATAGAACAAGCCTTTAATGAATTGGGTTTAAATTCGAGAGTTTGTTATTTAGAAGGATAAAACTAAAGGATTGTATATTAATTAAAATTTTAATTCAGTAATTTGTGATCATGTTAAATATAAATATTTTATTCACATAAAACTTTAATTATTATTTATAAATAATAATAATGTTTAGAGAACAACATATAAAATTATATTATTTAAAAATGTTCATGACAAAAAAATGTTTAAATTAAAAATTAATTGTTACATACTTAATATATTTTTTTATTTTAGTCTATACGTAAAAAAATATTTATAAATTGATCTCAAAATTTTAAGTGTCAATTTTTGTTAAATTAGCTACTGTTTCTGGATTATGAGACATCACGGAATCTCAAATAAGCCAGCAAATAATTCAACAAAATCTAATACTTATATCTTCAACTAACCGTGAGACCAATTTGTTAGCAGCCTTTTATCTAAGTAGAAAAAAAATCCATTATATGTTTATAAATTTTTAATGTAACAAATACTTTTAATTAATAAAAAATGCCATTTTTATACTTAAACTCAGTCATAAAATTTAAAATTAATAAAATCGATGTGTATATATAAATAAAATAATAACTACGTTGCCTTGAATTGTCTAATATATATTTCTTTGAAACAGGCTCCAAACGCACTAATACCAGGAACACCTTGTTTTCCACAACCTCTGACAACAACGGTAACTACTCATATTATATGCACCTTACTATTTTGGAGGCATTTGAGTTGTCGTTTCCTTTGATTTTTGGATCCTTTTAGAAACAAAGAGAGGATTGCCGTATTCAATTATTGTGATATTTAATGGCAACAAGAAATACAAAGCTAAATATGTAGCATAAGTTTGGCTCACTGACCATAGAGGAAATATAAATAACATGCAGAGATTTGGATGTCCACCTGTCCCCGGCATCCCACCCCATGCCATGTACAAACCACCAGATCACGCCACCGCCGTCCCTCCTCCCCGGCCCCTCTTTGATTTCCATCCGGTATCTATTTTTCATTCAATAAATAATTTTATTTCTTTTAAGTAAACTACCCTACTTCTGTCATTATATTCAATTTTATAATTTATTTCAAATGCAATCATAGTATAATAGATTTTATATTATTAGTCTACCACATTATTAACATTCCAGTCTAATTGTGGTATTTTATAATGAATCAGCATAGATTGAATACATCCTGCATGTAATTAACTTGTACAAGTATTGGTTCTCCTGACCATAGCTTCATGTTTCGTTTTCCATCGTTTATATTGCAATGAACACAAGAAAATACATGGAATGGTAGATGTTTAACTGAACTAATGCAATAGTATAAAGTTGTAGGATATAGACAAATATTTATAGACGAAGTTATTATTTTTCACAACTCAATTCTTGTACGCAACTTACATTCTTGTCTCCCTCTTCCTTTCTTTCTTTTTATCATTCAATCTTATCACCTATTATAGTTACAAAAATATTTTTTCACACCCTTAAAAGGATGTAAAATGAAAGTGAAAAAAATATATAAAAAATATGATAAGTGTTGTGATAAAAATGGATATAAAATAAAAAAAAATTGAGAAAATCAAAGTTATTGCATTTATTATTTTATCTCTTCTATATATCATTTTTTAGTTTTTTACTTGTGCATTCCGAGAAGTATGAAATGATTATTTTGTTTAACATTTGAAGAATAGATTACATGACAAGTTAGTTTGTACACCATTTCATTCATTTTCGTTTTACAGTCAAAGGAGAGCATAGACTCAGCCATTGGAGATGTTTTATCAAAACCGTGGCTGCCACTACCTCTTGGACTTAAGGCTCCAGCGCTTGATAGTGTGCTGAGTGAATTACAGAGACAAGGGATTCCAAACATTCCACCCTCTAGTGCTTGAACACCAGTATCCTTTATGGAAGAGGTTCTTCCCTTTCGTTTGGTGTCATGTCCACTTAACCCTAATTCGACGACTTCTCATCCATTAGATGTTGCATTGCATGTATGTTACATCTAAGCTACTATGTGAGTTATTCTTATCTTTCTTCTTCGCTTTTAACAGCAAAGAAAGGAAGAAAAAACTTTGAAGACTTTTTCTAGTTTTCTCACGTGCTATAATGCATGAGTGATTGGTTTCAAGTCTTGGTCATTATAGCCATTTTGTATATGTACTGATGTAAAGGAACTAATTTTTGTATTAATCGGATAAGGTGAGGAAATACCAATAAAGTTCTGTCATCAAATATTTCTCTTTTGGCTAAATGTTGAAGTACTCACTTTAGGTTTTCACATTGATATTCTCACACTATTTTTTTTAAAACTATCCTTCACACCCTACTTTCTATGATAGTAAAATAGAGGGAAACAAATATAGATTTGAATTTTTATCATAAAGCGTGAAGAGTAAGAGATGATACATACAGAGAGAAAGCGAATGTAAAAGAAAAAAAAAAGTATCTTGAAATCATTAAAGAAAAATAGTGTAATGGGTAGTGTTGTGTTATATAAAAACATAAAGAGTGAAATTTAAAGTTGCATGCATAAATATTGCGTAATTATATATTGGTTGAGTTTAGGTAAATTTTTTGAAAAAATATTTATAAGATAAAAAAATAAATTGTATAAGTTAAAAAAATTATTTTCTCAAATTTAAATAAAAAACTCTTAAAATTAAATTTTAATTAATGAAAGAAGTTTGATTTATTTGATTACTTACTGACTTAAATTCGTTGCTTTATTAAAATATTTTAAAATTTAACAAGTATTTAAAAAAAAAATTTAAAGTCATTAAAAATATAATTTAAAACGTATAAAATTATATAGAAACTTAAGGCATATATAATAAATTAATTTCAACGTAATTTAAAAATATAAATTAAAGAAAATCTACGTAAAAATATATAAATTTATTATACTAAACAAAGAAATAATTTTATTTTTATATTCATTTAAATAAAAAAATATTTATTCTCTTTTATTTAATTCATTCACGCAGTCAATTATTTGTTATTTATTTATTTTCTTTCCTCGGCAAAACATAATTTTTGGTACCGTACGCATAGCATCGCTGAGAAAAGATAGATGGACAGGAGAAGAAGGATAGGACGAGTGCTGATAAAATTGAAACAGAAGGAAATTAATGTCCATTAAATGGAACAGTTAAATCTGTTTTTGTTATAAATACATAAAAAAAGTAACATAATATAAAATTTGAATAATAGAAGAAATGATAAAAGTGTTGATACAATGATACCAAGCATGCAGACGATGGCAACAGTAAGTAATGAGGAGGCAGTGGTCCCCGTTGATCCGGAGTCAATAAACCATCAAATCATTCCAAGGCACTTATGGACCCTTGATTTTGACAGTGTGTCATTCGGTGGGTTTCGTGTTTGGAAATATATGTGAGATATACAATATGGTATACACCGATGAACCAAAGAGGTCACGAGGGTACTGTGGTTAATATTTTCGGATTGCCCAAAAAAGGGAGCCACATGATGGAAAAAGGTGGACCCCAGAAGGAGCCTTCAAGGACATGCAAAATGTTCATACGAAATACAAAGGATGAATTCATATTGGGTTAAATGAAAGTGATTTAATTTTAATTCATGAAAACACTTTGACAGGTTCTAAGGGGGAAATGCCTATAACAGGTAAGTTTGAACAAAACTCTCAAGTTAACAGTTTTTAACAATTTGGGATGCACAAAAGTAGAGCTCCCTATCCTTTTTTGAAACCTAAAAATGTTAATTCTATTTATTCTTGTTTTTTTTATCTCTTAAAAGAAAAATTATCCCCTTAATATTATTATTTTTCTTGTTTTAATTTTTTGAAATTAAGAAAAAATGACTATATGAAAAAAATAAACTACAAAAAAACACGTACTACAAGAAAACCAAAGTAACATTTTTTTGGAGTCAAAGAATACCAAAATAACACGACTGTCCATTTAACTCTCACAAGTGTTAAATGCCACGATTTTAATTTGAGCCCAATCCAATGACTAAATCGAACTCCAAAGAAGCCCAAAAGTACTTACATGATTGGCCTAGTCGAGAAATGGATAGTAGCCCATTAAAAAGAAAGGAAAATCCTCGGCAACACGAAACCTTTTCTACTCGATAGACTCGTAAAATTCCCAAGTGTGTATTCTCTTTTTCTGGCACCAACATCTTCACTCCCACTCGCGAGATTTTCGATTGTTTTATGTGGTAGTTCCACTTCAATTCCTCTCTCGTTACCTCGCTTTTAGGGTTTCCAATTTCTTCGCTTCTCCGATGGCGCCTGATCCTAATCGTGCCGGCGCCGGCACTAGTGCCGCCACCAAAGACGACGCCGTGGCGAAGAAGAAGGTCGAAAACGAAGATCTGGTGAGTCCGAAAACTTGGCTTCAAATTTTCACTTGTTCGCTTACTCATTCTAGGACTCAAATTTCTATTAAGCTTTCTGGAGCTGAAAAAACAACAATCGATTGCTTTTTGTGATTATCTCTGCAGTCCGATGAGGATTTGGCGTTGAAGCAGCAACTAGAGTTGTATGTGGAGAGGGTTCAGGATCCCGACCCTGGATTGCAGAAGGTTGCACTTGAGAGCATGAGGTAAACCTAGTTTTGTGCTTGAGGGTTCATATTAATTATGTGGTGAAGTGAACGAATTTTGATTTGAATGGGAGTTTTTAACTATTTTTTTTAATTTTAATTCTGTTTATGAAATCGGAATGGGTGGTTGTATTGTAGGCAAGAAATTCGAACTTCAACAAGCTCTATGACATCGGTTCCTAAACCATTGAAGTTTCTTCGCCCGCATTATGGTACTCTTAAGACATATTATGAAACTATGGGGGACTGTGATTTGAAGGTATAGTTATTCGTGTGTTTGGGTTCTGTCTTTATAAGAAACAGTGGCATGGTATTCTGCTGGTTAACCTATTTGTCTTTCCTCAATGCAGAAGTACTTGGCGGACATATTGTCAGTTTTGGCCCTCACAATGTCTGCTGAGGGAGAACGGGTAAGTTTGCTGTATTAGAAGTTCGAAATCTTTTTGGTGATTGCCTTGGTTGTGTTTAAGCTTGGTGATTCACCTTCATTCTGATGCCTTTGAATAACTTTACTGGTGTTTGTTATATTGACACTTCCCTATGATTCTGTCAGGAGAGCCTGAAGTACAGATTATTGGGTTCTGAGGGTGATATTGGTTCCTGGGGCCACGAGTATGTTAGGTGAGAATAATGTTTTTCAGTGACATTTTTTTTGTTTTTTTTTATGGTTATTGAAGGTTATCACTAGCAAAATTATAATGCTGGTGGTTGAAGTCTGATTGAGGAGTTATCATCAATCTTAATCTTACTGTTTATGTATTTTTTTTTTTTGTTCTCAGGAATCTGGCTGGAGAAATTGCACAAGAATATGCAAAACGACAGGTTGGGCATCTGGCTAACTTAAATGATAATATTTACCACTTCAAAGTTCCTTTAATATGGTATTTTGTGTACTCATAGACTAACAAATAAGCATGAATCCACTTTTCTTGTGTACTTTATATATTGTTGCTTTGATATTGAATAGCCTTTGTGATTTGGATCTGTGTTTAGTAGTGTTAACTATTAAAAATTTATCTGATTGTTTTCCATTTACTGTTTAATTGGAAAATTGATTGCTTTTTCACGCTTTTACAGAGTGAAGAGGCCCCCATTGATGATCTCATGGAACTTGTCCAACAAATAGTTGCTTTTCACATGAAGGTATGATGTAGTGCATTCATTTTGCTAAAAAGATTGTACACTATATAGCATGTAGACACAAGATGATGTGTTAGAAGAAGACTATTATTTATTTTAACTAATTTCAATTGTGCTGCAGCATAATGCAGAACCTGAAGCTGTTGATCTTTTGATGGAGGTAATATGCCAGATCCTTATTTAGATTGTTGCTTAACTACTTAAGATGGTAAACTGAACTTCATTTCTAATACATTTTAATGTCAGGTTGAAGACCTTGATATGCTGGTTGAACATGTTGACAAAACAAATTTTAGAAGGACATGCCTATATCTCACCAGTTCTGCCAGGTAAGTGCAAACAGGCATCATTTTATATAGGTTTTAGGAGAATTCAATTAAATTTATAATGGTGACAAAGAAAGGAAAAATAATAATTTATCATGGAACTTTTGTGGTTCAAAGTTATTTAGTTGGTTTTGCCATCTCACACTCTTTCATTTGATTTTTGATTTCTATGATATCTATATTATTTATTTCTACATTATGCTTCAATTATTTAACAATAAGTGATGTCCAAAGTTATCATCCCGGACTCTTCTAAGTGATAGAGTGATCCAATGCTTTAGAAATGAGAGCTATTGTGAGCTTGAATGGTTGTTGGATCTCTTAATACAGTTATGGCCCTTAGGATACTGGAGATTGAGATTTTTCTGTTCTAGTGAGTAGTGACAGGATAATTGATATGATATGTTTGTATAGTCACATCTGAAGCTGCTGAGTTTGATTTTGAAAACTTGAGGGTGGTATTTAATAATGTAAAGGTTTATGGATGAAGTTTGACTTGCAATGGGAGTGAATATTCTAACTATTTCTTTAGGTGGAGCTATTTTTATTCGTAAAGCATTTTGTGTGGTAAATCAGATGCTCTGCATTGACTTTTGCTTTTATCTGTTATTGTCTGGGGTAAATTGATTCTCTGTGTGTGTCAGAGACAAGATATATTTATATATTTTTTTAATCTTTGTGGTTTTGCAGATACCTCCCTGGACCAGATGATATGTTAGTTTTGGACATTGCTTATTTGATATATCTAAAATTTGAAGAATATCCAAATGCGCTCCAAATTGCATTGTTTATGGATAACCTGCAGGTGTGACACTGAAATTCCTTGTGTCTGTAAAGTCATTTTTAACACTTAAGTGTTTTATTCAATTTCCTATATATATGTATGTATGTACAGAAGTAATTTCTATCTTTTGTTTCTTAAATGATTGTTGTTTGAAACTAACTAGTTGCAGTGTTGTTGACAGTATGTAAGGCAGGTGTTCACGTCCTGTAGTGACGTGCTGCGAAAGAAGCAATTCTGTTACATGCTTGCTCATCATGTAAGTCCTGGATTCTGTGTTACTTTGTGGAAA